ACTCAACTCAACGCGTTATATTTAGTGTGCATGTAGTTGTTGTTTCTCTTTCATATTTTATGTGAGTGAGTTTACATTTGTGATGCCCACAGAGAGAGAATACACCGAAAAAGAAAACAAAACGAGTGCTGTTGATTCTGTGAAGCTGAATAGTAGCTTGGTTATTACTACGATTATTTCTGTTTGATTCATGCACAAGTATTCACCATACAAAATATAAGCAACACACAAACAACAATATAAAAAAACAACAACAATTTTCAAGTACCATTCACTCGAACGACACAGCGGTGATTTGGACCTCTTTTATTCTCTCTCTTTCTCTCTATTCGCATGACCCGTGCGTCTAAATACAGTTGTCGGTGCAATAAATATTTGCTGCTGTTAGATCATTTCAGTATTTCGGATATGTCTGGCATCACAGCGTGACATTCTGTATGTGTGTACACTGTACAATCACTTTGGAATTTCAATGGGTGCAAAATATAAAAAAAAACAGCGTGTTTATCTAAGCATTGATGTGTGTTCCGAAAGCGATATGGTGTCTATTTGCCATGAATAAATATGCCAATTTGCATTGTTCAAATCCGACCAAACAAATGGATATTGACGGAGAAAATGTGATGTGTACACGAGCCATTGCACAAAAATGGATTCAGTGAAATTTATTCATGATTCGCATTAGCATTGAAAGAGTTTTATGAACTTCGAAATAGGATACGTGATAGTGTTTCACTGTAATCATCCAACGAACGCAGAAAAAGCCGATTAAAAACGTTGACTTAAATGAATAAATGAGCACACATACGACGAGATAAAAGGAGCAACAACAACAACAACAACATCAAAAAAGCAAACAAATCTCATAGAAAAGAGAAAATTGTGTGGCCATATTTTTTTCTCTTCGGCACGGCAATTACGAATTAGTGCCGTTAGTGATTGTATTCCAATAACTTGAACGCATACGCGTACGCACAGGTGTAAGAGGCAACAAAAAAACATTTATGAAATTCCATTTGTGGACGAAGCGTGAATTCATTCACACAGTGGCAAAACTTGCGATTAGATCTTGTCATTGGCTCGCTCATCGCACTCCACACGAAACACACGGCTCAATGTGAGTCGACGAGACCGCGTTGTGATAGTAAAGAAAGTGAAGAGAGTGGACTATGACGGACCCGAAGTGAAAACTGTATAACGCGTCAACCGATAACAATCGTGTGCAACGAAGACTCTTTTTTTACGAAAAACAAAATCATCCATAGATAAATATATACGATATATATATATCGCAACATTTGAAACGAGATTACGTCTAGACCGGGCGGGAGAGACACAGTCCGTTCAGTTGAATTTTGACAGTGTTGCCGATAAAAATAAACAGCAAAACTTAAAAATGGAACGAAAAAAATGCAAAAAGAAACAATCAACTTCCTGAATGTATTTATGGTTGTGATTGGTACTGCATTGAAATTAATCGACGTCCGGTGTCTGTGTGTAAATTGTACAGAAAGAACGAGAATATTTAGTGTTTCACTCGAAAAATGTTTTTTTCGTATAAAAATCAAGTGAAAAACAAGTGAAGAAAAATTCCGTTTGTACAGTGCTTGTGCAATATATCGAATCGAGAGGAGAGAAAAAAAAATATAGTATAAACAATTGTGCTCTATTGCCATATTTCATTCATCCGCTAGAAACACATGCGGTGAACAAGCAGTGCTACAAACAGGCTATAAATCGTGTTCAATATCTTCATCACTTTGGCAACCCCACATTTGTGTCGATATCGTTTTGCTGTGGGTGAAAATACTTTGCTCGTTCGTTTGCCCGTTCTAAATGTATTGATAATTCGATTCATTATTCTCGGTCATCGAAGTGAATGACGAAGTGCTCCTGCACTGACATACCCATCGCCGTCAACATCAACGACACCAGCACCAGTGTGACGTATCTGTGTTTTACATTTAATGAATCCAATGAAACGAGAAAATGTGCGTAAGCAAAATCAAAGTGGGGAAAATAAATCGGCAAAAATTGCATTAGACATAATGCGAATAAATTTCGCAGTCTGTGGCACGAACGAAGTTCAAAAGAGTAAATCAAAAGTCAAATAACGTGTACAAACTTATTTCCACATGAACATGAAATAAGCCGACTTCTTTGAACCAAAAGAGAGAAGAAAAAAAAACTCATTTTTGATAGGCGTTTTATTGTATTCGTTGAAATTTTGTGAGGACAAATATTTGTAATGTTGCCAAAAGGCGAATCTCCACCGCAATAAGATATTAAATGCTTCGGAATGATCAAACTGAGATGCCAAACCCAACGAATCTTCGACGTGATAAATTAAAGTCTTCGTCAACGTCATATGCGAGTTTAGTGTTTTTTTTCTTTTTACGAATGAAATTCTACACTTTTACATTATTTACCATTTGAAAGACGTTTTGTATGAATTTTGATACGGGAACTTATGCGAATATATAGTGAACACAGCATGCTGAACATTTAAAATGAAAATTTAATTGAATAAAAACAAGTGGATAGATGCGTATGAAAAAAAAAAAGTTTTTTTTCTATGTAATCAAAACATAAATTCACATGTGAGTGACCCAAGAACACATAACAGAAACTATTAAACGCGCGCATACAGCACAGAAATTATTCCCCTCGAACATATCAACGGGCAACAATAAAAATTAATTATCCTACAGTAGCTGCTGTTTTGTACCATTTGTTAAAAACGTGCTGTGGAATATCAAACTTGCTCTCGGCACAATACATAACGACGACGACAACAGCAACAACAGCGAGAACTACAACAACAACAACGACGACGACATAGTCCGACAATATACTATCTACATATATATATATAAAAATAGAGTTTCTGTGTACAAGTCATAATATTTTAGTGTTTAATATTGAAAGTGATCGAATTGTGTTTGAAAGTTTATTTAGTAAAAATCAAATATCAAAGAAGAAAAATGAATCGTTCTGCGACGGCCACACGATTTCAATGCACAATGAAATCAAAAATCACTCAAATTACTGTACTTTTATTTGTTATGCTTAAGGTAAGTGTTTCGACAAGTCAAAATAAAATTGTTTATCTTACACGTTCGACGCGAATTTATTTGTGTAGAGGACTTATCACTAGCTGCTGTGGAGTTTTTTTTGTTGTTGCTATAGCCGCGCTCTGTATTGTTTAATGCTCTTGGATAGAAAATAGATTGGGTTCTGTTATAAACTTGGGTGGTACACCCATCATAGTTAAAGGCCAAAAATATCATTACTGCATTGAATACGGCGCGAACGAGAGAGAGAGAGAGATAGAGAGATATGGATTTAAATACCAAATTAGGTCGATTTCTAAAATTGAAATTGACGGTACCGCCATACCAAAAGTACTGCATTTGAATACGCGTCAAAATTGGCGATGCCATCATGCTTAATTTTCGGATCAAATACCACAACACACCAGCTCAGTTCAGCCGGTGTGATTGTGTGTGTAGTAATAAGTGTATGAGAAATGGCATAAGTGAAGAGAATAAATTATGGCGCTGATTGGTTTCGCATATATGTAGTATACATATAGCGTCGCGAGCTGATGACTAACTGATCGATATGTGATCATCAGTTATGGGATTATTTAACGATTATGGCGAATATTTTATTTATAAAATAATAATGCGAACGTCTGCAGAGAAAATATGTTTGTTTTATAAAGTTTTTGTTTTTTCTTTCGCTTAATAAGCATTACAACAACTGCCGTCGACGCTACAATCAAAAGGGCCGAATCGGCATACAAATTGCTAGCTAAGTGTTAAAAACGAAATTACAAGTATGCGAAAACTTCCGTTTTTCATTGACCGAAACGCACATTCATTGCGTGTAAATATTCCCGATTCTAACTTTTCCGCTCGTTATTGAGAAATAGAAAATGATCATGATGCTGCACAAATGCACACACAATAGAAAAAAGCAGCAGCAATGCTCAGTCGTTTGTGTGATGAAAGAAAGTTTGAGTGAGTTGCAGCTAATTGTTTTTTTGTTCATTGCTAAAATGCATCAAAATGCAATTAATAATGAAAGTGCATTTGAAGCATCGACGAAGAAATGAGTGAGCAGTGGTCCATTTATTGGATTGAAATAGAAAATGTGTTAATATTATGAAAATATTTAGAGCATGAATTCATTGGCATTGCATGTACAGATCGAATTTGGTGGCTTCACTTCTTTGCTCCGGTGAACGTACATTAAAATGCGATACGCATTTTTTTTCTACTCAATCATTTTTTGCTTTTTTTTCTACTTCTTTCATTTTCACGCATGCAATCGAGAAAAACCAGTTTATAGTTTCGCTCTCTTCCAATCACTTTGCAAAGTGAGCGCGCGAAACCAGAAGCCTGTCAATCATAAACTGATTGAAATCTGAAACGGGCGAGATGAATAAACTGGATCATTTGCAAAGAAAACATGCTCAAGTGAAGCTCACCTAATGAAGTTGACTGATCTCTCATGTATATGCAATTGAATCATACAAACCCACAGTGTCGTTGCGGCATCGCTGAAGAGACGGCGTGAAAACTATATCCCAATTCGTTGCGCACATCTGATTTGAAAATCAAATCAAATCAAATCAATCTATCATTCTTATCCATCAATTGAATTGAATAGATTGTTGTTGTGCAGTGAGTAAAGAACGGGGTTAAAACCAGTTGAATGATTTGCATATTGATTTAATCAGAGGAGTGTGACAGCATGTTGCACACGCAACTTGCACAATGCCGTTCATAATATTCGACATTCGACTGGAATCTACATTTCTCGAGCTAAAGTGACAACTTTGCAAAATTGAATCGCTTCGGATGAATCAGAAACGGTTGTGAATGTCAAATCGTGGTCATATACAGAAAAACCAATCGCATTTTGAATATATTGTCACACACCCAAGCGACGACTCATTATGAATGTTGAATGAGGCACTGGGCGAACCTCTCTCGTATTTTAATCGAAACCGAGAGAAAAAACTACATCATGAACAGTGAACGCTTCGCATGAAGGATTTTCAATTTGAACATTGCGCCCAAGAGACAAATATTCGATCTGAAACAAAAGCAAATCGCACACAAACACTTTCAATATGTGCTTGGGAACGTGGACAACAATGAATCATTCAGAATTTGCTGTTTATTAGTATTCCTCTTCAAAACGTTGATGAATTATATCCGCGTAGTTAATCATATCAAGAGGAATTGTTTTCGGCTTCAAACGCGATAAACAACAATATTTAGCTATTAACTCGTCAGATATTTGACACTGTTCATTGAAATGATGATACAATGACTTCGGGAAACGATAATAATATGTATTCAATGATCATAATCCCAGTTGTCTGGCTGTTGCTTTGAGAAGAAATCCGCACACAAATATCATAACGCCAACTTATTGACATTTGGGTATTGTCTATGGTTTCAATAAGCGATTCAAACTTATCTTATCTGCATAAACACGAACACTTCTATACACTCCGACTCACAGATACTCTCTCACACACACACACACACACACACACACACACACACACATACACATACGTTCGCTCAGTTTGAAATGGCAAATACGTTCATTTCGTACGAAGCCGGACGAAAAGCCTTGAGAGTAGCAATTTTGTCGACGGCATGAATTTTTTGTGTTTAATTGAAGCATGAACGTTGCTTGAAACAACATTTACCATTTTATTATACATGTCTGCGGTGCTTTTTTTTTCGTTTGGTGTACACGGATTTCGGTTTTTGCCGTTGCCTCCATCATTGGCAGTTCCCGTCAGCCGTGCATTTCGAGTTCAATTTCAGTTTTTGCGCCTGATGTTAGGTGCTGTTTCTTGCTTGTTTTTTTTTTTGCTGCAGATTATTTCGGTCATTGTATGTATATTGCCGTTTTACTTTATCGGTTCAATTCATTTGGTTCAGCTGAAAGCTCAGAAAATTGCTCTATTTCTTCATCATTATGTATATGAGGCTCGAGAGCGCTGAAAAGTGTGCTCAACACAATTTCCCGTTTTTTGTGTGCAGCTCTGCTCCATATTTTCGGCAATCAAACGCCACGTTTCACGCGATGTGTTTTCATTTTCTTTTTCCATCAAATTCAATTGAAATGCAAACAACTTTTTGAAAGTTTCTTCCATGCAAATGTCTTCCGCAATTTAAATATACATATTTGCCAGTTGAACCGTGGTGAATGTTTGACGCTCAACGATGAAGTTTTGTTGACGTGGAAAATGAATGTTTAATGAATTCAATAATCGAAAAGAAGAAGAAAACGAAAAAAAAAACACAAGATACGGTAATTTTTTTTTTTAAATGGATTTTTTCCTGAGTGTACTATTTCCCGAGTTTCTAAACTCAGACACATGAAGGAAAAGGGTATATATCCTATTGAAATTTGAAACTCAATTTTAACAAAGAGGGAAAAAAATGCCAACAATCACGACACGCTTTGTTTCCAACGAAGCGGGACATTGAGTTAAATATGTCAACGTGTTTATGGTAAAAATTGAATCAAATTCTTCTTTTTTCTTTCTCTCTTGGCTGAGAACTTCACGGAATAAATGGGAAAAAAAACACTTGAATTGCTTCGGCTCTTTCAAACACAGTGAACTATGATTTGAAAAGCATTCAGTGCTCTGGTTGAAATCCAAGGCCGGCTAAACGTGTGCTAGAGAGTTTCATTTGCCATTGTTGAATTGTTGAAAATTCAATGTTTTTTAAACGCTCCCCAAAAAATGAATCAGTGCCAAAACGAACAAAACGGCAATTGAACAGAACAAAAAACAATCCAATAACAATGCATGTTGTGTATTTTAGTCGTTTTTCATGTTATTTCGATACGCATTAAATGGTAATTCAATTATATAATTGGCAATTTTGTGCGCATCAAGCGGCAGAATCAATTCGAATTCGTTTCGTCAGATTAAGCATGTTCGGTATATTTTCGGTGAATTCGTATCAGAAAAAAAATACCTAGCAACGATATACATACCTCAAGCCAATTCAAAACCGTTTTGTTCAAATGACCTGATTCAAGTCAGAATTATAACTGAAGCAAAATGAAAAAAAAACCATGTCGACAGTAATAGACATTCTTTTTCCTTGCAAATGCTCTTTTTCTCACGTGCAATATGCGCCGACCGGAATGCGAATAGTTCGTGCGCAAAGAATGCGATCGAACTATGTGTGCGCAAAAAAAAAATTACTTTATAAATAATTCATAAATAAATTACACTTTTTTCACACTTCATTTGTCAACAAACTGCACGTACTGAACTTTTCAAAGAGAAGTTGAAGTGTATTAGCTAAAGTGTATGCCGCTGTATTACATTGAGCTGCAAAATTGTTCACAGTTCGTGCGATATTTTGTTCGTGCTGTGCATCCAATTTCCCTTCAACACTAATTGAAAATTTTCATTATGTAATTGCTGATATACATTGTTGCAAATCGTGCGAACTATGCAATACTCATTAGCTGAGGGTGTTTCTATGTGTTCACAGAAAGAAGTACACTTTTCTGTCTTGCACGTGCAATCATGATCAGAATTGCTGCTGTAAAAAAGATATGATTGAAAAAGATATGAATGAAAGACGAAAAGATTTCAATTATTTCAACGCGCGCAGAGTTTTGAAAAGAATTCCTTGAAAATGTCGTATTAAAAGGAAACAGATATAAGGGTGTGTGGTGAAGACCACTTTCAACTGCTTTTCAACGCAGATCCAAAATGCTTTAAAGGTTTCAGTTCAAAGAGATTCTTACCTACGTCGAAAGTAAATCGGTATTGTTTGTCTGATAGCGCGATGATGTTGAAGAAGATGAAAAAAAAAGTATGGCGTGGGGAGTGAAGAATTATGGCTAGACATGAGACGATGATACGCCAATCTGCACAAAAAAACGGCATTAGATGGATTTGAAGCTGAGTTCACGATTCGTTTTGCAGCTCATTCATTCAATAAAATAATGGATGTGTCGATTCGAATTTGTCTGGGCGGGATGTATATCGCGCTTGACTTTCATCTGAATGGCATGAAACATGACAAGTTCTACGTCAATGTGGAAATATTGGTAGCATAGTATTATCACAATGAAATGCGGAGCTCCAACTTTGCATGATCCATTGTGTTATGTAATGAAAGCATAAATGTGTACATTTGTCGCTACATTTAACTGATGTGTTTCATTGATTCGCTTGAATTTGTGAAAACGGCACCAGAGACACAGGCACCGTAGTTCATTGTGCCGCATAGCAACATTTCAAGTACAAACATACCATTTCTTCTTCACATCGACATTACCCATCCACATCGGTCGGTCTGCATGTGGAAAATGCTCGACACGACGCTATTGCTATTGTCATAGCCATTTTCTCACTCTCGACGACATACCAAATAAAAGAATGAGTGGAAGGAAAAAAAACACATTCCAGACACTATGAGTTTTAAGAGGTTACATTAATCACGACATGATTTATGCTCGGCGTTGACTCGCTGCGAGTATGAAAGCACTTTGTGTTCGAATGCCGAGTTTGATTGCAAAGGCCGTTGAATTGAAACAAATGGGAAAAAAAAAAACAAGAATAAACCAGCAAAACAATATGCCATAAGCTTATAATAGTTGAAAATATTGTTTACACTCTATAGAATATACATGTCTTTTTCCATTTGTTGTAACGCCGCTCACATTTGCCGTTATTATTGTTGTGGGTTTGTCGATGAGTTGAACGCCGTACGGTTAATTATAAAGCCAATATCATGTTGGAACTCCAGCACACACACACACACACACACACTCAATCGTACTTGAAAAGCAGCATGTTGAGACGGTAAACAACAACTGTTGGGGTTGTGTCGAAAATACTATGAAAATAATCCGTTCAGTGCGAGACAAGTGGCTCTTGCTGTGAATGAACTAATATGAAATCGGCTATTGAATAAGTAAACATGAATCCGCACTGGGATTATGTCTGCATGCGATAAAATATAGTCTACATTCACGTTTTTTTTTTCAACTAGAAACTAAAGAAAAAGAAAGAAAAAAAAATACTTTCGAAGATTCATTAGTTTGCTATTGTCAGGCTAAAATCCGCTGTGCGCCGAAACTTAGCAAGCAAAAGTTCTCTATCTCTCACACCAAAGCATATTCAAATGTGACTACAAAGTTTTCCCCATTGAATAATTGTGCCGATTTATATGGCGCAACATATGTATGCTGAACAGGCTTTTGAATCCTTTACAACATTAGCTTAACTTTGTGTTTATAATGCAATTCCCAAGTTTTCCATTTCCAAAGATGGCAGCAAACTTATAGAGTGATTGAAAGTCATTTAATGAAACTCCATGGCAAACCGTGTTTGTGCCCGAAAAACTTTTATCATATCCATACACAGCGTAGTAAATGGTAGTTTTAGTTTTCGGCATTTTGCGACAAAACATTTATTAAATATATCGATTTTCATCCTTTTTTCAATTTCCGTAGTTATGTTATAGCGCAGACATAGTTATCGAGATACCTGGTAATTTAGGACAGGACGATTCATCATATCGTTTAGACTATTATCCACCGTTCGGTAATCCATTGCCGAACACCACAATCGCATCGAAAGATGTGGGCGACGAAATTCGCTTCTCCAACGTTTTGGCCGGCACAAAATACAACTTTTGGCTATACTATACCAATTCCACGCATCACAATCTGCTCGCCTGGACCGTTTCCATCACCACCGGTAAGTTGAGATAAAACAAACAAAACCAATGCATAAATCTTACATTAGACGACGTGCCAGTTTCAAATAAAATTCGCTGACCTTTGCGTGAAAGTCTTTTGCCTGGAATTAAAGTGGAAAAATACTAAAGTTTGAACGATAAACAAGAAACACAAAGTTGCCCAATAAGTTTGACTGAAAAGAGAGAAAAAAAACCCACTGAAAATATTTATCTGATAAAAAAAACCGTTTAGAGACTATATTATGCATAAATAGCGAGATAAAATGAAAAGATTGAAGCATAAATTGAATTTTTATAAATAAAAATAAGAAGAAAAAAATGCCTCTCGACTTGAGTGGATTTATAATATCAAATGAGAGTTACCGTAGTAGCTTCGGGTAGGATGGATGAAAGAAAAAAAAAACAAAATACAGAATGCTGTAACATTCTAGAGCGATATTGCCGATTATATCATTTCCGTTGCTCGAGAGGAAATTGGCTTATAAAATGCAGAGAGCACAGAAAGCAGAGAGAAAGACACTTGTCGCATGACGTCAACCTTTTCGACCTATCACACATTTTTTTCTATCGTTCGAAACGTTTACATATTGTCGCATAGCATGACGAGCATCCAATAGACAACCATCTAAAAATAAACTTTGATTTCTTTAGATACTGATCTCGGGTTTCCACATCTAAATGCACGATTGAGCACTACGACTGCTACTTGCTCCAGTCAAATGCTCATGGCAGTGAAATCAGAAAGAAAAAAGTAAAAAAGCGAGACTCACATACACAAATGCCTGACATATGTTTTCTGTTATCCGATGTCAGTTGATCCGGAACACATGTGACACTTTACATTTTCAATGAAAGATGAAGAGTGTGGCTGTGCACTCGAAAATGCTTTTGCCTCCGGCAAAATGAGTCGCAGCGATGACTGTGATGCAAATAAATATGAAACTGACGCACAACGAATTAAATTGTTAGTAGATGCAATTAATATTTGGATGCTAATAAAGTGGTAACGTTGTCCACTGAACGCTTCGAAATGTGACCGTAAATTTTCCACTTGCTTCCAATGGATTTGTTCACACATTGTTTGTCTCATCGAATGAATGCAAATGACCGTTCAACCGACCGCATCATGTGGACATAAATTCAAACCACATCACACATTCAACAGATAACATTTTCAAACTGGTGCCGAGAGCCGTTTGCAAACTAGTTTCGATAGTCTCTCAGTATAAATGAATAACGAAAAAAAAGAAGAATTGATTGTAATACAAATGGAATCCACATGAGGCAAAAGCCATTTAAATCGAATTATTAATTAGCACGGGGGAATTTCTTCATCAGTTCCAACTAATCGCATAAATAAACAAGCGAGCCGCTTTCATATGATAATATTCGATTGTGGTATTTATCCAGCCATCAACATTTGATATTTAATTTTATCGAATTAATAATGCATGATAATTCGATGCCAATTCGAAAGTAAATCTATAGCGTCTAATGTAATGCATTTTATTTACAGCGCCCGATCCACCGTCGAATCTGTCGGTGTCGGTGAAGAGCGGCAAATCGGCCGTCATCTCACTCAGCCCTCCATCCAAAGGCAACTTTTCGTCGTTTCAACTGCGGGTAAGTACTGGAATGTGCCGAACCGAGCCGTTTATCGAGTAATCGAATATTCAAATGAATTAATTCAATTTATGCTTTCTAAATGGCATTCTTTCAGATATTGGGTTTATCGGATGGTTTCGTTACGAATCGTACCATTCCCATTGAGGCCAATGAGCTGCAATACAATGTACGTGATCTATCGCCTGGAGCCAGCTATCAAGTGCAAGCATTCACCGTATTTGATAGCCGAGAATCGTTGGCGTACACTAGTCGCAATTTTACAACGAGTAAGTCCATTTTTTTCCACTTGACAAAATTCACCCTACATAGCATACACTTCAAACAGTCAATCAATTAAACTGGATTTCATTAATACGAGAAAGAAAAAAACGCAAGACTTACAGACATAGTAATAATTTCATTAATAACTGGTAATAATGGTCCCTTTGAAAAATTTTGACCAAGCCATACCATATATTGTTTGATAAATGGAGTTGGCACAATGTTTTTTTTTTGTTTCTATGTTGCAATTTACGAAATCGATTTTGCGTTCGTTGAAAGTGTAATGCGTTTTATTTCAAAGCTCGTTACATGCATAACATGATTTATTAAATACTCGCGCGTCAAAGTCCTCCGAATTCGTTTCATAGCACATATTGTGGTGTGATAAGTAAATTAAAATCAAATTAACAGCGCACAACTCCATTAATCAGCGGTTGGAGTTTGGTTTGGTCGGTAGACCAAAATTATGCGAGCTCAAACAAATCTATTGCAAGAAAAAGAGTTGTTAAATTTATATTGTGGAGCAGGTAAAAATGAGAGCGTAGAAGAATGAAATAAAAAGTCTAGCCATGGATAGACTCACCTCACACCTAGTAATTAACACAACACAAAGCTTAAACATTGAAAAACGAAAACATTTTTTTTTTTTCATTTCAATAACAAGAAAACTTTTTCACTCTGCTCTAACACATTTTGTTTCTCTTTCTCTCTTCCCCTCTTCATTTTTGTTGATTTTTGTATCACTACGGTTATCGGGTGTAACGTTGTTTACTTTGGCTGTTTGACGATTGAAATGAAAACTAAAAACAAAACGAAAATAAAAAATTGCGTGACGAAATTCATGTAAACGCTTTGGAAAATTGGCGAATCTAATAAAACAATCTTTTTTTTTTCTCTTTGTGGCGGGATTTTGATGCCGTATTGCAACCGCACAAAACTAACAACTTTGAAACACGATATATATATATATATATACTAACCACACCACAAACCCGAACCAACATGAAATCACGAAAATCTAGTGAAAAGAATACGTCACAAAGACCTGTTGGACATTAAAATACTGAGAGGTATACCCATTTGGCCCGAACAAAAAAAAAAAAAACAAGCGGAGCCGATTTGCTGCAAGACATGCTGGATTACGCTTTTACTTCATTTTGTGCACTTGAATTCTTTTTTTTTTTCTTTTTGAATATTTATGTTCGTGTTGCGTTTTTGCGTCATTTTGCTATGCTTTTTCGTGCATTTTTCAATTTGCTCATTTGTCGTAATAACAAACATTTCAATCTTTGCTTTTCGTTGCTCGTTTTTGTAGTATGCAAATACGTTATGAGTGTATTGCGCAATCATTGAAACGTAGATCTTGTTTTTTTGGTTTGCCCATTTTTTTCGTCAATAGTTTTTCGGTTGTGATAGATTATAGTTTTTTATTTTTGTTTATTTTTTTCGGTTTTAGTTGCATCGAAATTAAACTTTTTCTTTTCTTTGCTTGCCCTAAACACATTTTATACATATTTTACACGCTATTTTGCAATGACTTGAAAGATTACGTACATGAATTGTTATCAGTCATTTTCTATCAATTCTTAAATCACAACAAACGATTCATGCCTCGTTTTTGGAATGTTCTCGACCATTTCTATATCACTGTCGTATATAAATCTCACTGCGCAACCGATAAAAATTGCACTCACATGCTGACATCGTGAAATTTATTAGCCAATTCTAGTCAATTGTGATATTTCATTTGAAATTCTATCATTTATTTTGATTTTGTCATTTATTGTGCTTTTGTTTTTCATCTTCGATTTTTGTCGTTCATCAAGAGCCGAACACATAAGATTAATGGTCAGTAAAATGCCATTCTTTTTCGTTTTTCTTTTTGTCGAGTTCAAATAAATTATCGAGCGCTGATTGTGCTTCCGTTGAATGAATCGTCGTCGTGCAAAAAAAGGCCTATTTGTGTTAACAGCGAGAATGACATAATGATGTAACGATAAACATACATTTACGTTGAATTTTTCTCTTCAGCTTGTTCTCATGACTGTTTGTCCCTTGGTTCTATTGTTTTACTGTTGCACCGTACCATATTGCCATACATCATCACCAGTCTTAATGAATGCATGAGAAAAATTCCGAAATGAAAATCGCAAATAGCACATATAATATACCACGTCCATGCATTGTTATGTGAATCGCAATATTACATTGATCACATTTCCATTGAAATAATGAGGCCTGTGTGTTTGTGTGATATACTGGCAAATGGCGCATTGAAGCAAACGAAACAGAAAAAAACACCATATTTTTCTCGCATTCGTTTATATTTTTCATTAGTTATTTCTGTCATGATAGTTGCGCTCAGAAAGTTATTATAAAATTTGAATGACGGATCGTTTAAAATGCTCAGCTATTATTTCCTCATATACTGATGCTTTCGCTTTTTTCCATTGTTTGAATGTTTATACACATACACAATAAATATTACTCTCTGTGTGTGTTACAAAATCTGTAATTGCAAACGGAATCACCCGGTTAGTTGTTGGTAATTTTTTAATGGTTTTTAATTTATTGCACGTGCTAATCAGTATTTACATTATTGTGTTTGACGTATTTGGTTGACGATTCAGTTAAAAACAGTTCTTTTTGTTTTGTATTCAAGTTTTCTACTTCTATTCATTTTCGATAAATAATCTGACTTGTTTCGTTTTCTTGTTTAGAGCCAAATACTCCGGGCAAATTCATTGTTTGGTTTAGAAATGAGACGACATTGCTTGTTTTATGGCAACCACCGTATCCAGCTGGAATTTATACCCATTACAAAGTATCGATTGAACCACCGGATGCCATGGAAAGTGTTTTGTATGTTGAGAAAGAAGGTGAACCACCGGGCCCAGCGCAAGCTGCATTCAAAGGCTTGGTGCCAGGACGAGCGTACAATATTTCCGTTCAAACAATGTCTGAAGATGAAATATCATTTCCAACAACGGCACAATATCGAACCGTTCCGCTAAAGCCGCTGAACGTGTCATTTGACAAAGATTCAACTACGTCGAACAGTTTTCGCGTCATTTGGGAGGCGCCAAAGGGTATGAGCGAATTTGATAAGTATCAAGTATCGATATCTAACTCAAGGCGTCAACAAAATGTTCCGCGAACGGTCGAAACAATAACTTGGCTTGAGTTCAAGGATGGACTGGAACCGGGTCGAACATATCAAGTAACTGTAAAAACGGTATCAGGAAAAGTTACATCTTGGCCGGCAACTGGTGATGTCACACTGAAACCGTTGCCAGTGTTCAATTTGAAATCGTTCACCAACAATAAAACGGGATTGGTAACCATTTCGTGGGAACCAGACGAAGGAAGCTTCCAAGAGGAATACAAAATCAGCTATCATGAAGTCGAAACATTCAACGGTGACTCAAGCACAATGAATACAAACCAAACGAGCTATGTTCTGGAATCACTTTTGCCGGGTAGAAATTATTCGTTGACCGTTCAGGCCATTTCAAAGCATATGGAGTCAAATGAATCGACTATTTACCTGGTTACGCGACCATCGTCACCTATTATTGAAGACCGAAAATCAATAAAAGAAGGACTGAACATCAGCTGGAAGAGTGATGTCAATTCACGTCAAGATAAATACGAAGTGATTTACTATCGAAATGAGACTGGTGAAGAGAAAACGTTCACAACGACCGATTCACGACTCATTATTCGCAATTTATTCTCGGGAGCAGGGTATGAAATTAAAGTATTCGCTGTGTCACATGGTCTTCGATCCGAACCACATTCATATTTTGTGGCAGTTTGTAAGTAAATTTCATTCATTTTTTGTGAAAATTTCAAACAGTGAAATAAGATTTCTTTTATTTTGTGTGTGTAAATCATAGATCCAAATCCGCCACGCGATATGACGATAGAGAAAGTGACAAGCAATTCCGTGCTTGTGCACTGGCTTCCACCGAAGAAGAGTGAATTTTCATCGTATGTCATTCGATACCGAACAGAAAGTGAGAAAGAATGGTTCAATCTGCCGACGGTAACGACAACCGAAGCCGACGTGACCGACATGACACCGGGTGAAAAGTATACGATTCAAGTAAATACAGTTAGCTATGGCGTTGAAAGTCCGAGCCCACAGCAAGTGAACCAAACCGTTCGACCGAATCCCGTTTCCAACATTTTCCCATTGGCCGATTCGACAAACATCACGCTCGAATGGCCACGACCTGAAGGTAGAGTCGAAACATACGTACTGTCTTGGTGGCCATCGGAAAAGCCAGAAGAAGTTCATACAAAGAATATGTCAGAGGCGAATGTTTGTGAGTATTTTATTGATTTTAACGTATCGATTATGAAATATTCATGAGATTTTTCGTTGAAATATTCATTTTGTTTTCCATTCAAAACTCACGAGCTCGAAGTTTTGAGAGTTCAATTGCTTTAATCAACTAAGTAAATTATGAACAATGAACTATAAGCAGTAATTGAATTGAAACCTGTAATTATAACTAACTTTACCACTGCACATAACTTTCGTTGCCACAGCTTTAATTGATATCAATAAAAAGTTTGAGGATCAACCCATTGTTCGTGTTTTGATTGGAGATTTGACTCCGGGCGTTGAGTACCGATTCGATATCCATACGATTTCGTATAATCTAATTAGTGATGTAACGCAATTGTCAGCACGAACATTACCACTGATTTTGTCTGAAGTGTTGGTGGTCAATAATCATGGCGAGCGCGATACGGTCACATTGAGCTACACTCCAACACCACAATCGTCTTCCAAGTTTGATTTATACCGCTTTTCGCTCGGCGATCCAGATATTTCAGATAAAGAGAAATTGGCCAATGATACGGATCGCAAAGTAACATTCACTGGATTGACTCCGGGTCGTCTGTACAATATCACCGTGTGGACGGTGAGCGGTGGTGTACAAAGTCTTCCAATTCAACGCCAAGACAGAATGTATCCAGAGCCAATCACTCAATTAAATGCAACGCGAATAACACCGGAGCAAATCACACTAAATTGGGACATTCCACAAGGCGAATACAACTCATTCGAAATCCAATACTTGCGATCGGACAGTGAACTAACCGTGAATCTTACGAATCTAAATAGCATCACAATATCGCATCTTAAACCACATCGACAATATACGTTCACGGTTGTAGTACGATCTGGCACCGAGTCAAGTGTTTTGCGAAGCAGTTTACCCGTATCGGCTACGTTCATGACTAAAGAATCTGTTCCGGGAAGTGTCAATCACTTCTCACCGATTGACATTCAGCCCAGCCAAATAACGTTCGAATGGTCACTGCCAGTCACCGAGAGGAATGGCATTTTACAACAATTTTCGATTACATACGGTTTAGAGGGATCATCACATACCCAAGTAAAAGACTTCAAACCGACTGAATTGCAAGGAACCATTTACAATTTGCTGCCGGGACGATCTTATGCATTCCATATTCAAGCCAAAACAAATGTGGGCTATGGTCCAGAGACCATGTGGAAGGAGAGAATGCCAATTTTATCACCACCAAAGCCACCGCCACAAGTAGTGCCAACCGAAGTTTACCGATCTTCGTCCAGTATTCAAATTCGCTTTCGGAAAAATTACTTCTCAGATGCAAATGGACAGGTTTGATTTTTCATTCAATAAAAGACCACGATTTGTTGTGGTTATCTGTATTCTATAAATAATTTTGGTTCATAGGTGAATATGTACACGATAATCATTGCTGAGGATGATTCAAAGAATGCGTCTGGTTTGGAAATGCCTAGTTGGCGTGACGTACAAGCCTACAGCGTTTGGCCACCCTATCAAGTCATCGAACCGTACTATCCATTCAAGAACAGCACCATTGAAGATTTCACAATTGGCGTGGAAAATTGCGAGAATCGATTGAGTGGATATTGCAATGGACCATTGAAATCTGGCACCACATACCGTGTCAAAGTTCGGGCATTCACTGCAGCAGATAAATTTACAGACACCTCCTACAGTTTTGCCATACAAACCGGTAAGATTTTGTTTATTCAGTTTTGAAGAAAAAAACAATCAATTCAAATGGCAATAATTACTAAATGATTCTACAAACACTTTTCGCAATGCATATTTCGAATTTCACATATGTCTGTGCCAAAAATTCGTCTTGTTGATTCAACAACAATCAAAACAAAAGATCTCTTGTACATGGGTAAGCATAAATTATCGACGTTGTGTGTGCACTATAGAATGCTTATACCTGCTATATTTATCCTCTCGAATGCATTCATCCAATTTATTCATCATTTCTCCTCTATTTATACTCCTGCTCAAAATTTTATTTTCGAACGTGTTTTGCATGAAAATAATACCGCATTGTTTTCTTCGCTAGAGCATTCCACTATTCGTGGTTATTTTTTTTCTTTCTTCTATTTTCTATCAAAATAATTTCAAATGACACGTTGTCTGAAATCTATTTTCGTCATTTTTGGTTTTTATGCCATATATTTTATTTTATGGCCTGTTCAAACGTTGTTATGTATGCCAAGTGTCACCGCAAATGTATTTAAATGATGTTTTGCGTACTTAAAGTAATTTCAAGTGTCACACAGACAGAACGAAATTCATTTTCGACACGCAACCCAATTCAAACGTTCAATTAAATCATCCGAAAAGTGCATTTGCTACAGCTGTGGACGGCAACAGACGATTAGCTCTATTCGGAGAATTGAAAAAAAGTCATATCTTATCTAATGTTTGTTTGAATTTTCAACGAAAATTGTTTGCATTCTGAAAGCAGTAGTTGTACAGAGTTTTATCGCGATTTAATCGCATGTTTTGAGCTGTCTAAATTTCTAGTGACAGTTGAAGCAAAGATACCGTATTCACATAAATCAGTCAAGCAAAATATTTCAAATGAAAAAAAAAAATGATTTGTTGAAAATTCAAAATTCATTATTATTTTTTCCTTGAAAAGAATATCATCATTCTATTGCTTTCCTTCATTGTAACATTCGATTTGCTAAAGTAAAACCCAAGCTAATAATTTCTTCCGCTGTTTTAGATCAAGACAATACATCGTTGATTGTGTCGGTGGCTGTTCCATTTGCATTATTTGCCGCATTTTGTGTAATCGTGACGATATTGTACGTGCGACGAAAACGATACGGTGGCCGTCGAACAACAAAAGAGTCACGTGCCAATGACAATATGTCGTTGCCGGATAGCGAGGCCGAAACAAGCCGAAAGATTTACCTCAAAAACTTCTCCGAGCACTACAGATTGATGTCAGCCGACTCGGATTTCCGGTAAGAATAAACAGTGCATTTTCTGTTCATAATTTCCGAAAGTTGATTGAAATTCAATTCCATTGAAAATTTCGCAAAAATCAATAACAATTTTGCTCATGTTATGAAATGTTCAGTTTTAGCGAAGAATTCGATGAGCTGAAGCACGTTGGACGCGATCAACCATGCTCATTCGCTGATTTGCCATGCAATCGCCCGAAAAATCGATTCACAAATATCCTTCCCTACGATCATTCACGGTTCAAATTGCAACCCGTCGATGATGACGAAGGCTCAGACTATATCAACGCAAATTATGTGCCGGTAAGTTGAAGCATTTCCACATATTTCCACAAATTATGAACTATTTGGCCAATTCAACAAGTAATTAACGTCTCATGTTACAGGGTCACAATTCACCTAGAGAGTTCATTGTGACACAAGGACCGTTACATTCGACGCGTGATGACTTTTGGCGTATGTGCTGGGAGAGTAATTCACGTTCAATTGTTATGTTAACCCGTTGCCATGAGAAAGGCCGCGAGAAGTGTGACCAATACTGGCCATTGGATACAGATCCATTGTATTATGGTGACATCAGAGTGCAAATGCTCAACAATAGCCACTATCCAGATTGGATTATCACCGAATTGCTGGTGAGCCGTGGTAATGAACAACGAACTATTCGTCATTTCCACTTCATCACTTGGCCCGACTTTGGCGTTGTTCCGCCACAAACATTGGTACGATTCGTGCGTGCGTTCCGAGATCGAATCAAAGCCGATCAACGGCCGGTCGTTGTTCATTGCTCCGCTGGCGTTGGACGATCCGGCACATTCATCGCACTTGATCGCCTACTGCAGCAAATCAAAGTGTGTGAATATGTGGATATTTTCAATATCGTCTACACTATGCGCAAAGGTGAGTTTTTCCATAGAATAATATTTCTTGGTGTCCAATTAAAATAAATTGAAACAAATTAAGCTGGACAATTGATAAATATTTCGTCGGAAAAAAAGACCAACGAAACTTTTTAATTGCTATCGATTTGTATTAATTAGAAATTAATTCGAGCATCAATTTAAACTCTCTCCCTTATTTCGTCCATTTCGTAGAGCGTGTGTGGATGGTACAAACGGAGTCACAATATATTTGTATTTATCAATGTCTGCTGACGGTTCTCGAAGGAAAAGAGAACACGAGTCCAGTTAGGGAAATTCACGATAATCAAGGATATGAAGGTAAGAAATTGGATCAAATCAATACGTATCTTGAATACTGTTCGTCGAACATTATCAAAAATGGGTTTGTTTGGCTTAGTTAAATACCAAAATAAAAAAAATTCGATTATATAGTCGAAAGTGAACGAAGTCAAACGCATCCATTTTTGGTATGTTCCACTTTGGCGTTATGGAGCTAAAACCCAAATTCGTGTGCTAAAATATGTGTGTGATTAATCTGTGTTCCAAATGTCGACGGTAAAAAAAAATGATATGACCAAACAAAAAATTAACCTCATCCATGCTGTTAAGCTTTCATGCACAACATTCGACTAATTCTTGGGTTTTCTCTTCTCTTTTTTTTGTCTTTAATTAACTCTTTTCTCGAAATGCAAACCAAATGGAATTCATTGTCTTATTGCTGTGACTAAAAAAATTTCCTTTTTCGTCCGCGTAACACAATTGCTTCTCCGAATTAAAATAACAATTGCATCCTTGATTTCAACGCAAACAATTAAACAAACTGTGATACATGGTGGTAAATCTGTGGAAATGCACAAATGACACTTTTTTGTTTCCTTTTTTGTTTTAATTTGTTTCACTCACATGCACGCAACTGAACACATTTTTCTTAATATTTTAATTTTGGTTTAATGTTCTTAATTTGAATTCGTTCGTTAATCTTAATTTAAATAAAACACAAAACAAAAGAAAAAGATTTACTAACTGACCAAGAAAATGGCACAATTGCTATAGTTAAAGCGATCGACAGTAGCTTACAAGAGGACGATGGCAGCACAACGAACTGGAAAGGAGAGAGATGACAAGACGAGAATGCCAACAATAATAGCATGCTTATTATTGTTAATACGGCATTCGAAGAACCAATAAAAAATTCGGATGATGATTATGATGAACAGCATGCACAGGGAGCGATCGACGAGATTGCCATTGCTCAAGACATTGAATTAGCAATCATTAGCATAAACGAAAGTCTAAATAGCTCAAATGAAATCAACGAAAGTCCAATTGATGGCGAAGAAATGGACACCAGTGATAATAATACCACGAATAATACACAAACCACTGCCGAATGTGATGATCGATTGTTGCCAATTGAACCGAAACACATGCGAAACGGTAGCGGCAGTAGTAACTATGATGACGATTACGAAGCAGACGAAAATCTATCGATAAGTGTGGATGAATTGCGCAAACATAACGGTGACTATGGTATACAAGATGTACAAAATGCCGACGAAACCCGGAAATTGGTGAATGGCGAGAATGGCAGCGAATTAGAAGACTGCGATTACTATTCGGACGGTGATAATGATGGAGATGTGGAACAAAATCGAGGGGACATTTTAAAATTTAATGGTGGTGACGGGATAATTGCTAATCATTTTATTGGTTTGTATTTTTCAATTTCGTACTCATGTTTCACTGTAAATGTTCTTTTTCGAGCACAAACGCTTTTAATTTTTTTTTTGGGATAAAATAAGGACACTCTATTAATGCACGCATTTACTTACAACAATGGTGAAAGGGGTCCAATTTTTGGTTGGTTAACAACTCTTCCTCCCCAGCCAACATACGCAATCATTTTCATTGTACATATTTTTTTTTTCTTTATGTTTTCTCTGGAGAATTTCAGTTTTATTCAAACATAAAATGACTTCCCCTTCAGTTGTTCTGACCTTTTTTTTTTAGATAAAAAGAAACAGCATGGATTTTCATGATTTAATTTGACCAAATGATCATTTCAACATGCATTCTAAACATTTACGCTTTTCTCTTCAACAGATGACGAAGGCATCGCCGAATCGGGAATGTGATTAAAAGTCATTATGTAAAAAAAAAAAATCATTCGTATTATTACGGAAAACGAACAACAAGGCCAACCTAGTACTATACACACGTATTTTTAAATTTTTCATTATTCGTAGTTGAGTTTGTTGTGTTTTTCTTTTAAAATGAAAATCCAGTTTAAATATATCCAATATGGATAGCAATAGCTAAATTAGCAAGTGAACAAATCGCCATTTTAGATGGTAATTAACAGACATTCGATCGAAAATCCCTTATTTATAAATTGTAAGAACAATCTGTTTTGTCAATACTAATCGATATGTATGTCGTCGTTCCTCCCACATGGATAGTTTGCTGTGAACAGCAATTTGTATAAAAAACAAAGAAAATAGAAGGATTTTAAAGTCATCGAACAAAAATTCTTTGTAAAAAATAAATTTTTTTGATGTGATCGATGGTGTAATTAAGAATTTAATAGACATTTTAAAATTGTAAACAAAACCGCCGTGCAATAGCTCGATGTGTGCGATTTTAATCAAAATTTATATAAATATTATATATTATATACAACTCTATATTATTGGATCATCACATATATACGTATATAAACTGGAGCTGTCACGCAAAATTCAATCGCATTCAATTCGGTTTTAATCAATATTTCAATAACTTTTCCTTTAATTTCGAACCATTTTCCATCACGTACCAATGGCAATGTTTCGAACCCGTGGCACATTATTATTGCAAGATTTCCTTGATTTTACCTTCTCACTTTCAATTCTCACAGTGAATGATTTATTTACAGTTACATGTTATCATTGGTATTATCTAATCTCTATCTCGATTGTTTCGATTGCTCTCATTTTTGCAATTGTTTTGTTTAAATTGTTTAAAGTTTATTCAAGAAAGAAGAAGAAGAAGAAGAAGAAAAAAGGAACAAAAGAATTACAATAAGAAACCGAACAATTTCAATCCAATATCATGACATCACATATTTGAACAATTTTTTTTTAAAAAAACCGTCTCTTAACATTTTTAAACATAAACTTTATGTTATGATGGATTTTTGGACGAAAGCATTAACTTAAGACATTTTCGAATTGTATTTATTTCTGTTTATTTAATGTAAAAGTCTTGTACTGTGCCTGTCTCCTCGTGTAAATTTACCTCTTTTTATTGTAGTAAACTAGATAAATGTATCGCAAATTGTAGCTAATCTCTGTTTCCTTCATTTTATTTCTTCGATATTGCTATTTCAATCATTGTCTAACAACTAATTTCAATCGAATTTTTAACCGCTAAACGAAACATCTTTGGAAATCAAATAAAAGCTTCTCTTCAGAATAGAAAAAAAATACATTAAAAAAGAGTACGAATAAAAAAATGTAACTAACACCGAATCAAAAGTTCAAAACAATAGTCTTTTCCACAGAATCTGCTTACTTCCCACTCGTCATTTTTGAGAAAAATTGACGATCTTTTGATAAAATTTTATATTATGACCCGTCCTCCATTCGATAAAATGCGGTAAGTTTGTGCTAAACTAAGCAAAACCCACTCGATTCGAATCTCGAAGAAAATTCCACGGAAAACTGTCTGAATTATGATGATTTATTATGATGGAATAAAATGAGAATACGAATAAATAAACAGTATGAAAGAATATTATAGTGTAATTTTTAAACGGTATTATTTACAACGTAATTTTAGTCACTATTTTGTAAAGTTGTGAATTAAAAAATGGATATTATTTGTAAAATATTCAGCAATATAGACGATGAATAGTATTTAAGAACACCTAATAATTGGAAGAAAAAAGTAATAAAACCGGAAAAACCATTAAATAAACATATCTTTTGAAATATCGAAATGGAAATTTTTCTTCTTTAGTTCTTCAACTAGAAATTCATTTGGATCGTATTGGTGTGCTGGGAGATAGATTCAATTGGGCCGCTTTTTTTTTGATTAGGAAACAATGGAACATAACTTAAAGGTTTGCATTTTCCGCTTCATTCCAATTGTACAGAAGAAACAGAGAGCACTGAAATCGTCAGTCGATTGGTTGGTGGCTGAACTATTTGGCTGATCGAAATCTAGAGCTATATTTCGTTTTTACTATAAAATATTGACAGATAATTTTTTGCTATCAGTTGAATTGAATTATTTAATTTGTTTTTGCCCAAGATGTATTTGAAACTGTACACATTTTCGTGAAAGACATTAACAGTGTTTTGATCGGCACACGAGCACCATCTCTACTGTATGCCATTATTGCGATGTAAATAATCCTAATCGATATACATGCATGTAGTAGATTTCCATTTTTTTTTTTTTTGAATTAGTGCCTAGTTGTTTGTTTCAGTTTGTTCATATGAAATTACTAACGTCGCAATAATTACCTATCTACTATGCTAATATGAGATAAGCTAATTAGTTTGAACCAAGAGTATAAATAAGGTCGAATTTTTTGTTCAACGAATCATTTGTTGTGAGCGATTTGTTGTGAGTTATGAGCTCGATGTTTAGCAATTCAATTGTCATATTATTTATTGCTTCGCTGATTAATAATATTAATGGCGAATGCTGTTGTAAGTAGAGGTTTATCATTTGATTATTATTTTATTTACATCCAGGCGATGTTTTTTTTTTTTAATTTTCTCGATTCAATTTATCATTTTTGTATATTTTGATTTCAACAGACACTAAAAACAACGACCACGTATCTTTAGAAAGGTACAGGTCACCAACTATATATAGATTTCCATGGACTGCGAAAATCTACCAATTCAATGCCTACAGAGCATCTGGCGTAATAATTTCGAACAGGCATATATTAGCGACTGCGAGCAACATTCTTCCATATAAAGGGGTTCCAGTGGAAACCAAAGACATTGGAGATTCTCTCGAAAAGCATTTCTGGTAAACAATTTTTTTTAATCCTCAAAGATTGGTAAAATTGAACACATTCATGAGAAAAAAGATTAATATTTCTGAGATTTTTCCAATCGAAGCAGATCAATCAGTTTGTTATTTAATTTCGACTGGAAATTTCTCAAAAATATTGATTTATCTAAATATTATCTCAAAACAACATATTGATTCACTCACGTTGTTTTCCTTTTTGCAGGATAAAATATACAAAAATTAGTTTAAAATCCAGAAATCGAATGCAACTTGAATATGTGTACATACACCCAAATTATAACCATATAACATACGACAATAACATTGCCATCATTGAAGTAAAAGGATTCATAACTTTCGAAGATTATATACAACCAGCAGTATTGCCGAAATCACCAGCAAATTTTCACGGCAAAAAATTACACATAGCTATTCCGTACGCTGCTTCTGAAGGAGGTACACAATTGCTACGATACAACGCTTCACTTCTATCCGAAGATGATTGCGCCAGAGTTAGCGGTAATACAAATAGTTTAGCTAACACACTGTTATGTGTTGATAGTTTATGCTCAGATTCTCTGTGCAACAAGGTAAGTCTCTTTTCTTTATTCAAAAAAAAAAAAACAAACAAACAAACAACTAATCTAATTACATTCACAATCCAGCTATACTTTCGCGATCCAATTTTCAGTATTACTGAGAACGATTCAATTGAAATAATTGGATTGCCATTGTGGCGGAAAAAAAGCATTAGTGTGTATAACGCATCCAAAATGTGTTTTGAAGATAGAAATGCAACCGTTTACATCCGAATTGTCGATTTTCTGGCATGGATCGATGAAATTTTATCCAAACGATGCGGATGTCACCTACAACAATCACTTGATTGTGGAGAACCGATGTTTTTTTGCGAAAGTTGTGGAAATTATTTAAAAATAAATCCTATTATTTAAAAATAAACAAGCTGAAAATCGTCAATTTTGAGAAAAAATTGTGAATTGTTCAAGTTCAAATTAAATTTTCAATCAAATAAACAAAACAAATTCAATTCAAAATTTCATTCGAAAAAAATCAAATTGTTTTTTATTTTGTTTGATTTGTGAATATGACATTTTTTCTTCGGATTTTTTTTAGGCTGGCATGTTTTGTTTTTTCATTTATTTATCAAAAAAATTAATATCGAACTGGAAAAAGCAACGAAATTTGAGATTTTTCCAATTTTCCATACAATCAATCGATACAAATAGTCAAAACAAAAGTTTCTCATGTTTGCATTTTGATTTTTCCTCTCTCCTTAATGTAAATATGAATTGATTTCGAGAGCAAGAATGTTGTCGAAATCGCATTGTAAATACAAACACACCTTTTTCCGCATTGAATGTAAGTGCAACAACATAAAGTACGATACAATGCTTTGCCATGCATACTTTTTGTTTCTCTCATTACACACTTCCCGTACAATAAAAGTACAGACTACGCTATATACTTGACCATACAATAATAAACAAATTCTTTAATTTTACTAATTCATTTATGGTTTTTTTTTCACACGCATTCAAGTGTTCAAGCAATGGTTGGACGAAAAGGACATATCATCTGTTTTTACTACCTCCTTTTTTACGCGTGGGGCAAATAACAATGCAATGTAGTGCAATGTACTTTTCGTCTAGGCTAGGCAGAGGGTGGGGCAAATAGCTTGCATGCATCGCATGACTGATACTTGTTGCGTGACTGACATTTCCTCTCTTTCCCCTCATGTATTGCATGCATTTTTTTGTCCCGCCTCGCCCTGAGTTGGACGAAAAAGACAAAAGTATACTACTCGTGTCGATGAAATCTATCAGGAATACCCCAAAATAATGTTAGTTCGATTGTTCTAGTTGCATTTCGTCGTGCATAAGGTAAATGTGTTGCAAGTTGTAGATATTTGTTTGCATTGGCAACATTGAGAAGGTCTTCCAAATCTAAATACATGAAGATTTTTTCCAAACAGAATTGATTCACGTCCGTTATTTTGGTTGGGCTGTTTGATTGGATGGTGCTCTCTACTCTTCTCTCTTTACAGGTGTCATTTTGTATCGGAAACAGAAATTGAAATGAATACTAAAGCTTTGTACTGGCAGTTGATTCTTTATTTAAAAATCTAAAACTGAGAAATATGCTATGTGATTTCAACTAACATTATTGAAATTCCGTTTGTTTTTTAAAGTTCCAGTTTTGCCTTTATTCCACTAAATTAGTGTTTTTACTTCGTATATTTCTTCGAATGTAAGCGTTGCGGCTTCTCAATTGAATAGCGACAATATCTTTGACTAAATATTAAATATATATTTTTAATACCAAACAGATTTGGACCTTTTTCCCGTCAAAGTGGCAATGTTTTGACAAGCAGATTGGAATTTTTTTTGAATACAGGATCCTACATATTTGCGTATGTGTGTTGTTTAGTAGGATTCCTGTCATTATATGGGAATATTGGATGGAAATCTACTAACGTCATATTTTAGACGTATTTCTTTGTTCGATTCAAAGGTTTTTTTCGTCTGTGTGCGTTCTAAAATTACAGAAATGTGAAATACTTTAAAGTTTAAACGGAACATGCTTTCTTCCAGTTTTACGGTCTCCCCATGTTCCACTTCAATGAATTTCTTTATTGTTTTAGACAAGGGGGAAAGAACTATTTATATTTGTAAATATTTGTAAGCATTTGCAATATTTACGTTCATTTTACGTTCATTTAAAAGCGTATTTACATAGAATATTGATGAATGCTTGAAATATTGAAAGCCGCGCGAGCGCGATCTGCAGGTCGCAAATACGCTGTAAATATTCATACAAATAAGTATGTTCATTTACACTCATTTACAATATTTACAACATATTTCCACAGTTCTTTCCCCCTAGGTTTTAGACCTATGTATCGAATTTATTAACACATTTTGATTCATGTAAAAATTAACATAATTTTATTTTTATCTACAAGTTGAACAAACTGAAATGGTTTAGTTGGATTTCTTCGGTTTAACAAACATTCTCGATTTTTTCTGCACATTTCGTTGTTGTTTCAATTTGTTCAATGCTGGATAAATTTCGGAATAGATCTCCAGTTGTTCTTCTTCAGGGATTGCTGAGCGATAATGTCTCATCATATCCCATTGTAGCCATGGTTCTTCACGTTCTTTCTGCTGTTTGCGCATTTTGTCCGTAATATGTTGATCGATACTTTCTCGTTTCACTCCCTTCAAATTCTTACGTTCCCATCGTTGCATCCATGGCCGTGGCCGCAAAGTCACTTGAATGGGATTAACAGGAACTGGTTCGCCTTCAGGATGGTGTTTTGCTTCCATGTTTACATCGATTGTGCTATACTCTAATGGAGCGTCCCGTAGATAGTAAAGTTTGTCGTCGAGACGTTTTTCCAATAGCAAAACCTCAATTTTTTGCACTGTCGGATCGTATAGTTCAAATTTGACTTCAATACCCTGGTTGTCAATGGCATTTCGCAATACAAAGAACGAACGCAGACCACAAAAACCACGATCGATGCAAAGGCCCACGAAACGTGTAGTTTTACCGATTGAATGCTTATCGGATGTGGTCACTGCCAATATCGAACCCACATAAAATTCCGGAATGTCTATGTGCGCTCTGTGAACATTAAATATGAAAAAGAAATTGGCATTGGATTGGAGTGTTCACATTGTGTTTTCAAATAAAAAATACCTGCGATTGATCATGTCCATACGTTCCAATTTTTCTCGGATTGGGTTTCGAAATTTTGGATCTGGATCTGGCAAAAATTCTGGATACACAAATCTACTATTTGCTGGGATGGATGCGGACTGGTCAGTTGAACTTTCTCTAGCATTCTTTGGCGTTTCACCGGCTGATTGAGCCACTTCAGTAGCATAACATCGACCTCGTAAACCAACTACAACAAAATATTTACACATTTTTCTACTTCGATTCTGTTGACGAATTCATTAATTTCAACTTACATGCAGATAAAACTCTTGAATGGGCGTTATGCTTCAGCAAATTGCCAAGTTGAAGTGTTGATCTTGGAATATTCATCATTTTAAAGGTAGAAATCGTTCGCCACTTTGAAAATATTGTATCAATCACCTTTTGAAGAACAAACACATAACCTTAAATTATCCGTTTGACATAAGGAATGTGTAGCCCAAATGTGGAACAATTGAAGTTGAAACTGACATTCAAACTGTCAAACACAAGCACGTTGTTGTACTCACATTCGTATTGCGACTCAAAGCAGAACAACTTTCGATTCGTTTACCTCTTGCTGATTTGTTTATTTCGTTGTTTTTTTCTCTTCTTAAATTGACTGTGATTAAAATCAAAACAATGGGGAAGCCACAGCGACGAAGAAAAGTGCATTTTGGTGACACACATTTACAGCGCAGATGGAGAACGAGAAGTCGTAAGCGAGACTTGGACCAGGTAACAGTGAAAGAAAAACTTGTAGCATTAAAAATCAAGCAGACGAAAAGCAAACGAAGTTAGTTTTGAAACATATGTTGAATTTGTGTGATTTCAGATTGATGAAGATTTAAAGACAAAATCCGCCGAACTCTTGAACCAGAGTATCGATTTGGATACACCTGGTTTCGCTCAGTTTTACTGTCTTCATTGTGCCAAGTACTTCACCGATGACCATTCGATGCAAGCACATTTCAGAACAAAGGTGCACAAGCGCCGCATGAAGGCATTAGAATTGGAGCCATACTCAATCGAAGAGTCAGAACGAGCTGCTGGCCAAGGGAATTTCAAAAAAGCAGAAAAGCGCAACATCGAAACTCAACCGTCAAAAGAAGAATTTGCAAAGGGAAAACGCGTTGTCGTGCAAAAAGTCAGTGAAATCGACACCGAAATGAAAGAAGAGGACAAATAAAAATTTCGGCTCTTTAGCTAATTTAAGAAATTTTACATGATTTATTCACAAAATACTGCAAATATATTGAGAAAACTTATGCAATTTAAGTTTGACACATTCAAAATAAAAAAAAAAGTCTTTTTACTTTGGCAACATGTAGCATCTGGGATTCATTTATTCATTCACACATGTAAATCATATGAGGCGACATGTTATATGACACATTTTCCACGGTACAACAAACGTCAAGCAAAAAAAAAGTGAAATACTTTGCCCATGACACGAATTTGATGAACAGTGTGGTTTGATTCTGAACTAGAACGGTAGAGCGATTGTTGTGCGTGAAATGTCAAATGTCATTTCGTGAAAGGTTTGTTTACTTTGTGATATCAGTCAAGTTATGTAGAAGAAATCATCAAAGGGCACATTTTTTACTCCTGAGTCATTGTCATTTTCTTTCATGTTTGATCTATTTCGAGTTGACTTTGAATTAATCCTTCGGCATTCCCAATTTTGCCCGATAATTCGTTGACCGTTGCATTTGTTCAACGAAATGGAATACTTTATCGTGTCTGGTTCTAGTATCCAATATTCTGTGTTCTAAAGTAACCATGAAAAGTATGCATCTGGTTGTGTAAAGGTAAAGAGGACGCTAAACGAAAGCAAGCAAAGTTATGCCAAAGTAGAAAATACTTACACAACAATCCAAACAATAAAAAGTGGCAGTCGAACAAAGCGATATCTGAACTCAAGAAATCGACGGAGGAAAAAAAAAAACGCGAGAGACAGAGTGAGAGACCCGAAAACAGAAACCAACAAAAATGGCCGATCAGCTGTTCATTGGATTCTGTTTGTGAATGGCATAGTTGTGGTGTGTTGTGTTGTGCTTCGATCAATTAAAAATTATTGAATAAAAACATTCGTCAGACGGTAAACAAATTGGTTGCTGCTGCTGTTACTGCTGAATCACACAGGAGTACATTCATATTGGAATCAACAACAAATAAGTTCAATCACACTCTATACGTCACAATGAAATGTCGTCATTTGTGTTTGTACTGCTATTAGATGTCTTTTTCTTGCGAGATTTCGATATTTGTTTTGAGTTGATTTCGGAAAATCGGTTTTTTTTTTCCTGTTTCGATTTAGTGGTTATTGACATTTGATAATAGCCAAACGCGTTCGTTGGCCACAGAAAACGCAAAGTTAAGACGGAAGAAGAAGGTTGTATTGATAAAATGTTTGGTGATATTTAGGGAAAACAAAAGCGCGAGACACAAAAGAGCAAACGAAGAAGAAGAAGAAGCAGAAGAAAATAAACAGAAAACTAGAGCACGACCAAACACGACATAAATGTGATAGAGAGTGTACGGAATTCATGTGGGAAAAGTGCTGAATGACAAAAATAGAAAAGTAAAACGGAAGAGAAGACAAAAGAGCAAAAGCAAATAAAATACAACAAAAGAAAATGGGCGAGTAGAAGAAATCGAAATAGCCATGCTATTGGTTAGTAAAAAATGGGTACTATCGCGTCAGTGCTTCAATGGACCTGTAGCAATAGCAATTGCCGATATATCAATCCAACCGAGTCTTTGAAGTGCATTAATTGTGGTAATATTCGTCGCATTAAAATACCAGCCTATTTAGCATCACCCGATGAATATGACGATGAATGCGACAATGACAGCAGCCCCACGGAACATGCCATAAATTCAACCATACATCGTACAAAAACAACGAACTCCGATCTCTGCGACGAAACACTGCCTGGATATGTTGAAATTAATTCAAACGGGTATATTTACATTTTTATCTATTATTTCCGCGACCAAACCAATTCAAATCCAACTAAATGGAGAAATGTGCAAATCAGATAGAGATAGAGAGAAACGGAGAGAGAGAGAGCGAGCATGAAATTAATTGTGGCTGTCATTAGACAGCGCCACGAAATCCTTCGCTGACATTGCAAACAACAATCCGCCATCAGTACACATATATTGTGCGTGTTTGCCTTATGCTTATGAAGCTTTTATTTACCATTTGCATTGTTGTTGGAAGAAATGGAGAGAGAGAGAGAGAGAGAGAGAGAGAAAGAGAGAGAGAGAGCGAGCGAGCAAAAAAAAAACATAATATAATACTCCAGTCAAGAGTCATCCATTTAGACGCATGCACACACGATTTCCAACAACTGCCCAACTAATTATCGTGTGTATGTATCCAAAAGCGATACATAAATGGGCTTCAATAAATATTCGTCAGTTTCACACAATGAATGAAAAACAAGGAATAATAATTACAAATTATATGTTATCCAGTTGGTGATAATTCATGAAATCCATACTCATCGATGCGATTGCATGATCGAACAAACTTAAAATTAAATTCCACATTCACTGATAAACATAATACAGCGACACACATACACAAACAAAGCGATATATTGCAACTCCGTAATGGATAAACGATTTGATGTCAATTTATTTGATAATAAACACAATGCAAATGACTCTCCAGCTTTTGACATCAATTCCACTAAAAAAAAATTGTTTCTATTCCCAACTCTCGATGCGATACAACAAAACGACACTAATTGAATCCATTAATAAAGGGTACTTCATGCGGCACTTCATACTTGATTGATTCATAATACTACAAGTTATTATTTTTCGATTAGAAAAGAGTTTGCAATGTATTTGAGCAAGCCAACGGAATTGCTTCGAGCCAACTAACCAAACGAGAAAAAAAAGAATGCGAGCGAACAGAACGCTTCGTGCCGTCTTCCAGTGCGGAGGAATTTCGAATAATCCGCTTTTCTTTCGGCTACTCTCGTATAATAAATAATAAATTATTTGGGAAAAAATTCGTCGAAACACTGTGCTTTCTATATTTCGTGCTATAATTTCACCGACAGACTTAACCATCTGTTTTGTTTTAGGTGAGAATTGATTCATATGTGCTGTAGGTAAGGCTGTACAAAGGTATATATTTAACGTTTTACCGTGCACTTATGCCATTCCATATGCAACCAATTTGTTTTCCGCTTTTAATATTGATTTTGAAATCCTTTCGCCATAAAACAAGTCATATTTGACCTAGACTGAGTATGTAGCTCGGAAACAATGAGAGAAGAAAAAACAAACATTTTGAATGTCTATGTTCCATTAAATGAGAGCACAGTGTGCTCAGCATACCGACCGAAAAAAATAAATTGTGTCAATTCTGTGGCCAAATGGAAGTTTGCTTTCAAGCATTTTTGTGCATTCTGAATTTGCATATGGAAAAACGGGCTTATTCTGTAAATAGACTTTGAACAATTCTGACGGTTCAATTTGATTTTTTGGATATCGCTGTGTTCCGGTTCGTGGCCAATTCGCATGTAAAATGTTGCAATCATAACACCAACAAATAATAAAGAGTGAAGAGGTCGAAACGATTTTTTTTTTCATTTGCATTCGGTGTCTATACTATAAAATATAATTTAGAAAATGGTTTAATTATCATAATGGAGAGACTCTATAAATAGACTCATTAAATCAAGCATTTTATTTAGCTTCAGTTCGAAATTGTTCATACGAATGGGAATAAAATGTGTGCACACATATGATTCTCAACCGACAACGGTTTGGCAACGTTTTGCTTGGTCATCGAAAATCGTGAAGAACATTTGAGTGCGTTTCAACTGTATTTGCAAATGAAATTTTGCACTAATCATCATAAATACATTTCGCATATCGCGAACACGGTTCGTTGAGTGGCTCTTTTTTTTTTTTTAGTTTGTTGACCCAGTTTAGAAATCGAAATGCATCGCGTACTCATTGCAATTCAAATATAAAAACAGCAATCAATCGACTAATTACGCCACACATATTCGAAATCGGTGAATAATTGATACAAAAAAATGCTTCAATCTCATCACGTGAATGAAATCAATACGCTTCATAAAATGAGCAAATGATAAGAGGGAGAAAAAGAGCGAAATGAATAATTTATCAAGGAGAAAAAATTCCCGTTCATAGGCCCAATTGCATAGGAGAAAGTACTTTGCTGAACAATCAAATCATGCAATATTCAAGTTTCATTGAATAAAAACAACAGTATTTAAATACATAATCCATTTTCACTATAATTTTTGATTTTTTTCTCTCTCGTTTTTTTCTGTTGTACTCTTCTTTTGATTATAGACTTAAATCGAAACGTATCTACAAAACTTTATTGCGGAGTCATTACAAACACAATTCCACCGAATCGCAACGAGACCCATCGTCGAGCAGTAGCAGTGACGTTACGGATCACCATGAGCATTTAGTGCAATTGAGGCGTTCGAACAGTACGCCAAGTTTGAAACGATGTTGGTTGTGTACATCATGCAAAGTGCTCAATAATTCGGTGACGTGGCACTGTCTCAATTGTGAGTGCGTCAGTCTTGTAGCGCCTATTTACAAGGACACCCTACAAAAAGGATGCATACGCAAAGAAATAATCACAACTAAAGATTCAAATCAAAGTAATAACGCCAAATGCAAATCAAAGCCAATTCCAAACTCAGTGTCGTGCGGTAAACTGGTGACGGATGCAATGAATCAATCGCCATTGAACGGATTCGATAGATATAATCGTTTTTTACATCGCCAATCGAACGCGTGTCCCGTATTAGTCGCTGCAAATTCATCGCCTGGTGAGTGTTATGTTAATCAAGTGAAGTACAATGAAGTGACACGTTATCGCCCAGTCGGAGGATTGTGCCCGTTAAATCGTCACCTTGAAAATAAATCACTACCAAATATCGTCGATGCATTCAAGGAATCAGGCATGCAGACACAGGAATTATCGGAGAATTTTTTCGGTGAGCGCATTTTCACAGTGAACAAACCGAATACATTCACAGTTGCGCCTGCAGCCACAAATCACAGTATTAATTCGGCACGCAAAGCCCTTACGCCAACGCATGAAATCCACAAATTCACTCGATTCGCAACAAAATCGGCAGCCCGTGGATCGTCAGTCGTAAAGAAAATGTGTACACCAGGTGAAGCGTGTCGTATGTGTAATTTAGGCCGATGTCAAAATGAGACATTCACAGCGAACAAAAATCAATCGGAAAATCCATTAGACACAAGTCGATTCACGATAACAACACTTTCACGTAACAGCGCTGTCAAATCGACTGATAAAAATCAAACGCTTAGCCGTAATGGTGGTGTATTGATCGCGGTTCGCGATTGGTCAATGGAAAAGAGTCCGGTTCCAAAGAATAACGGCATTACAACGGCACCCATGTCACCGGATAATTACTATGAAATTCTTCGGAATCCAAATAACAATGCCACTCTAGAACAATCGAATAAGGACTGTAATCGAACGACCAAATCACAAAAGCATATTTATGAAAATAGTATTTTGGCCGCGAAACCAGAGAGCAATGGTCCCATTTATGCAGTTGTAAACAAAATGAACAAAATGAAAAACACAAAACCACAACCAGCTCAAGCACTGAAATCACCGGAACAAACCAAATTCACGTACATCGGCATCAATCCAACGAGTAATGTGAAGCCAATTAAAGCAGCAGTGGCGGCAACGACGGCGGTGGCGGCCGATTCAGATGCACTCTATGCATCCACTCAGAAAAATTCACAGCATAACAATAATCTCAGTAACAATAACAATGGCGTTTGTCTGACCAGTGTGATGTCTAGTTTAAACAGCTTGAACAATAATAACGGCGTGCCGTTAAATGATTGCACGCCGCCCGCAACCAATGCGGAATTCTCAACGAAAGTGTGGAAGGGCAATAAGAAACCAATGGAGGCTAATAAAACGTAAGTCTCTCACTCTTGAGATTTAATTAAAGCGCCACTTATAAGTGGCTAATAATTTGGTTGTTATTGTTTTCGTTGCAGCATAAACTCTTCACAGCAGGCGCTGAATCGTTCGCCAGAATCGTCATCACAACAAACGGCAGCACCGCGAATGTGGACCTGTACCAAATGCTCATATAGCTATAATCCACTTTGGGCAAGTGTAGTTACAATTCATTACTCATCTGTTTGTTCGGTGCATTTTAATTGAATGCCGAAAGTTTCACTAGTTCGCATCGCAACGGAATGAAAGAATGGTTCTTTAGTTAGTATTTTAAAAATAATAACTTTTCTTTGTGATCTCCCCTTTCTAGGCTGACAACTGTGATATTTGTACATTGCGTAGAACACCTCCTTCGCTGACACAACCAAGCCTGATAACGGTGACGAAAGACAAACCATTGATCAATGCCGACATTGATACACGCTCATCATCGGATGACCAAAGCCAAGTTAGCATCAATAACAAAACCGAAACGGTTAAATTCACTCGATCGGTGGACAACATTGTCGAGGTGCCGATTGCTACATTCGAACAGGATTTGGATGACGATAATATAGATGATACCGTTGACTATCCGCAAGAGTGGACGTGCAAAAAGTGCACTTTGGTCAATACACCGCAATGCACGACGTGCGTTGTGTGCGGTGGATCAAAGCTGAAAAGTGTATCAACATTCGAAGAATTAACACTGCGAAAAGGTCATTATTGGGTTTGTACTCATTGCACACTGAAAAATGAAATTTCAACGACAATATGCGCCGCATGCAAGTCAGTCAAACAGATTTCTGGGCAACAGACCAACTATCGTCCGTACACTTCAACGCCCGCGTCAAATTTGAATAACAAAAATCGACCCAACGTAATTGGTACGTCATCTTCACAGCATTTGATTGGCGGTGGTTTAACACCACCTGTTCAACGTGTGTTGAGAAGCCCGTCGCCGAAGTATGATAAAACCGCTTCTGGAGCCATTCCAAAGGTAAATTTTTGAGAAGTCTTTATTTTCTCACCTTTCATTTATGATTTTTTTGTGATTTTCACTTGAAACAGAGACACAGCACCGGAGTAATGATTGGAAAAACAACAAATATCAATCACAGACATAGCGTTGGACCAAATACAACCGCTACGATTCCAGTGAAAGTGTGGCATTGCCCAGCGTGTACGTATGAAAATAATTCGGCCAGTGTTGTGTGCGATATTTGCTCGAGCCCAAGAGGCTTGGCCAACAGTTCAAAATCGTCGAATGATATGAGTTCGTTGCGATACGAGGGAACGATCACAAGTGAACACCATTCAGTTGACTTGAGTCGTAAGGAGAGCAAACTCATGGAGAATTTACGTCGAAAGGAGGAAGGTGAAGCTCGTACAAAGTGGGAGAACATAATTCAATACTGCAAAGATGTGAGTTATCATATATGACATTATAAGTTTAATTGAATTATCAATCTATATAACGGGTTTTCTCATTTTCAGAACCTAGAAACATTTGTCGACGACTCATTCCCACCGGCTCCAAAGAGTCTTTACTATAATCCAAGTTCAAATGTTGACGGCAATCCAGTGGTTCAATGGCGTCGACCACATGAGATAAATTGTGATGGTGGCTCATTTCCACCTTGGGCAGTGTTTCGAACGCCATTGCCCAGCGATATTTGTCAAGGCGTTTTGGGAAACTGCTGGTTACTTTCTGCTTTAGCCGTGCTCGCCGAACGAGAAGATTTAGTGAAAGAAGTGCTTGTTACGAAAGATATTTGTCCCCAAGGTGCCTATCAGGTGCGATTGTGCAAAGATGGAAAATGGACGACAGTATTAGTTGATGATCTCCTGCCATGTGATAAACGTGGACATTTAGTATATTCGCAAGCGAAACGGAAACAACTGTGGGTTCCAATCATCGAAAAAGCTGTTGCAAAAATCCACGGATGCTACGAAGCACTCGTTTCCGGACGAGCTATTGAAGGCAAGTGAAGCTGATTGCGGATGAAACTTCATTCGAAAGTAGTTTCATTGAATCGTGAACAAATTGAAATGTCAATTATTTTTAATTCAAAGAAATTAATGAAAAATGTGTATGGTTCCCATATTCAAGGTCTCGCCACATTGACTGGCGCACCATGTGAAAGTATACCTCTTCAAGCAAGCTCACTGCCAATGCCAAGTGAAGACGAGTTGGATAAAGATTTGATATGGGCTCAATTGCTGAGTTCGCGTTGCGTTAAATTTTTGATGGGAGCAAGTTGCGGTGGCGGTAATATGAAGGTCGACGAAGACGAATACCAACGCAAAGGCTTAAGACCACGTCATGCATATTCAGTTTTGGATGTACGAGATATTCAGGGTCATCGTCTACTGAAACTTAGGTTCGTCATTCGTTTTCACATGCAAATGATTCACGATTTTAATATGAAACAATTTTTTCTGCAGAAATCCTTGGGGCCATTATTCATTCATTGGCGATTGGTCGGACGATTCAAAGCTATGGACTGATGAATTGCGTGATATTTTGATGCCGCACGGCGGTTCTGAAGGTGTATTCTGGATATCATTCGAAGATGTTTTAAAGTAAGCTAACGCAGACACGGCCACAAAAGCCAAGATCAATTTCAATGTCTAATGTTTTTCTTTGGCTCCACAGATATTTTGACTGTATCGATATATGCAAAGTACGGTCAGGATGGAATGAGGTTCGTTTACAGGGAACTCTGCAGCCACTGTGTTCATTGTCGTGCGTTTTGCTTACCGTGCTCGAACCAACCGAAGCTGAATTCACACTATTCCAAGAAGGACAACGAAATTCAGAAAAATCACAACGATCACAACTGGATTTATGCGTTGTCATATTCCGCACTAGATCATTGGCCAATCCAGAAGTTGGACGCTTAGTTGAACACAGCAAGCGACAAGTAAGGTTAAATGCTGATAAATTATTCGAAATCATGTTGTCAATACAAACTAAACGAATATCAATTTTTAGGTTCGTGGCTTCGTTGGATGTCATAAGATGCTAGAAAGGGATCTCTATTTGCTTGTTTGTCTGGCTTTCAACCATTGGCACACCGGGATCGACGATCCATCGCTTTATCCTCAATGCGTACTCGCAATCCATAGTTCGAAAAGGTTATTGGTCGAGCAAATAGTTCCACCGCCATTCAATTTGGCCGATTCCATTATCAATTTAACCCTGGCGAAAGGCCAACGGCACGAAGGTCGTGAAGGAATGACGGCTTATTACTTAACGAAGGTGAGTTCGCTCATTGGTTATCCACTAAACCAATGTTTAACTGAAAAATCGTTACATTTCTCTTTGAATTTTTAATGATTTGTTTGTTTGTTTGTCCAATCTGTAGGGCTGGGCTGGTTTAGTGGTTATGGTTGAAAATCGCCATGAAAACAAGTGGATCCATGTAAAATGTGATTGCCAAGAAAGCTATAACGTTGTTTCAACGCGTGGCGAATTGAAAACTGTCGACTCTGTACCGCCACTACAAAGGTATGCTATCGCTATGCATGACTCGTTAAAATATCTGCATTGAATTATTCAATTTTCAAAATTACCATTAACAGACAAGTGATCATTGTGCTGACTCAGCTGGAAGGAAGTGGCGGATTTAGTATTGCACATCGTCTAACACATCGCTTAGCCAATTCACGTGGCTTACACGATTGGGCAACACCGGGAAATGTAACTCACTGTCCGCCAATCGATACCGTGCATGGTTTACATGCTCCTCGTTTAATCACGTGATGTGATATAACAATTCCATAAAACGTTTACTTTTAAACAAACAAAACAGAGCTATTTTATAACTAAGAGACAAACAGAAAAAAAACAAATCTTTTCTTGTGCAATGTTGAATAAATCTTTTCTTGTGCAATTTTGAATTGGACGATGTATGTACGAATTCGTTTTATTCTCATGGAGAAAACAAAACAAAAATACTTTATGAAATTCATTCATTGTATTTAATAAGCACAAGCAAAAACGAACGAACAAACGGTCGAAATCGAAGAGGGAAATTTTGGAAAATTGTGATAAAATGGAATGAAGAATGCTTTCTTTTTGATCGGAAAATAGAAATTTTTTAGTTTTTATTCAACAAAAATTCAATGCGTTACCAAAAATCGTGTGTTTTGAAACGACGAAATAGTATTTTTTAATTTTTTTTTATTCGGCGTTCGGTGAGTGAATTGGCACTACCATTTCGAATTGAATTGGAGATTCTGTTCCCGATGATTGTGTTGGCGAGCGAATTGGCATTACATTTTCGGGTTGAATTGAAGATTCTGGTCCCGCTGATTGTGTTGGTGAGTGAGTTGGCACTTCAATATCGGGTTGAATTGGAGCTTCTGTTTCCGTTGGTGTTGAAGGTCGAGTTTCTTGGGAACCATTTAATTTGAGATAGGATATATCAGCCCGTGTGGCATCATTGAGATGGTTCAATATTTGAAAGATCCTGGAAAATAATTGAGACAAATGCATTAGTTAAATTAAATGTTAAACTTCTTTTTTCTTGTACAACTTTGAAAAATAATATTATTTTGTTGAACTTACTTTTCCTCAATTAAATCATTATTGCGCACCAAATTTTTCACTTTATTAGCCACCTCGATGTGCGTGGGTGTATTTTCGCTGTTATCACGCGTCGTATCTGGTGCCTGTGTCCATTTGATTCTTAGCTCGAAGTATAAGGCTACCAATCCTGCGATCCCACCAACAAGAGTTCCAATGTTCGAAAAAAGTTGTCAACGCCGATAAAACCAATACCAGGTGCAATGGAACACAAAAATGTAGCAACGACGGATACTATCGTGGCATATCTTGCGCAAACGTTATATCTGATTAGTTTTTCGCAATATTCCTGCCACGCAGTCGGAGGCGGAGCCGGTTCAGCATCTTTGGGAATTTCTTGAGGTGATGCCATATTTTTTCGAAATGAACGACCGGCACAAATTTTGGGTTATGTTTTTGTTTCTGTTTACTTTTATGTCTCGTAATGTTATCGGAATGTTTTGACATTTCTGTCACAAAGTATTATTTGACAAGCATCATTTGAGGTGAGTTTGTCATATTTTATTATGTATACTGACAATTTGGAAGACAATCGTGTTCCAAGGTACAGACATTTTAAAACACTAAAGTCTACATTATTATGGCCCAAACTGATGTTCAGTGAATACTTTACCTCCACGATGCCGCAAATTTGATGCAACATTTTCTTGTCACGTCTTTCAACGATCTTCTTGCTCAATTTGTTCAATTTTTCATCCCCACTTTTATGTATAAATATTTCCAATGATTCTGTTTAATAATTCGCATTTTTCTTTTTGTTTTCTTGTTTTTTTATTTATAGATCATGTGTTTTGTTTAATACAAATTATTTAAAACGTTGTTTCTTTCTATATCAACACTAATCTGAAAATTATTGTTTATGCATATACGCAGTTGTTTCGATTTTTATTCTTGTCTTGTCTACTGTGTGCTTGACTATTCAAATGGAAAACCAATTACAGGAATATGTGCACAAAGGTCGTCTCTATAAGAAAGTGTGAGCCAATAACGTTGCACTTCCGAATCAACTGCAGGAAACTGAGAAAAAGAGGAGAATATTAAAAAAAAATTAAAAAAACATAAAACAAAAATTCTATTTACCTTTCTTATCGTCAGTCTGTAATACCAAGGAACGTGATGTATGTTATAAGTTCTTTTTCTGTACGTAGTATTTTCAATTGTAGTATAGTTATATTTATCGGTGAATGCACTGCTATTGAATTGTTGCAGATTTAATTTTATTTCTGTTATTATTTTTTTCTGTAGATGTTTTTCAGTTTGATCAGTATTTTCATCTGTGAAGACTATGTCAATATAAGAGCTGGTTTGGAATTGCAAAAATTCAAGATTTGGGAGACCAGACTGAAGACGAATTATATATGATTCAATAACATCACGGGTAGGTGAATGCTTCATCGGCAGGTAACAATTAAAGTCCGAAAATACAAATTGTTTCATAGTTTTCAATTGAAAAATGTACTCGATTGAGGCGTCATCAACTAATACATTGTCCAATTTCAAATATTCAATCGGTATATTTTCCATTGATAATATTTGCATTAAATTCGTAACATTAAGTAGATGCTCATCTATGGAATGTTCTCCAATGAAACTTTCATGATTGGTTATTGATAAGCTTTTTAAGAATTTGAACCGACCAAAAAGTGAAATATTCATTGGTAAATGCATTTTGTTATCCTTAAGGCCATGCCTTACATTACCAAAATACCAAAACTTTTTCAATTGTGTATTGTGTTTCAAAAAATTTATGAGAAAAGGAATCTGAATCTGTTTTGTATATGTAGAAATATATTTATTAGACCAGTAGAATTCTACTAATTTCGGGCAGTTGATTGGAGGAAGAAAAACTGGAAAGAGCGCACTAGCTGTAGTTTTTTGAATGGTTAGCTTTTCTATTCGTGTAAATAATGGAATTATTTGATTCGCGGTTTCTTTCTCCAGTTCGAAATTAATGATACGAAAATCACGAAGATTCACGCAATGCTCACTAATCATTTTTAAAATTATTTTAATTTTTAAATTTATTGGGTGAGGTTTTAATTTAAATCCACTGATTTCAGCGCGATAAATTGACGAGCCAAAATGTTGTAAATAATGATCTGCTTCTGATAATGTAAATAATTCCATATCACTTATATCAAACATATTCTTGTGGTGTTTTCTTTCTAACATTTCTGTTAATATTTGATTGAACTTAACACAAACATCAGCGATTATATGATATTTTGATGGGTGGATTCTTCTAAAAATTTCATATAAACAATCATCATTCAAAATGTTAAGTATATTTTTCGGAGATTCTCTATCTGGTGGGTTCAATAATAATATATCATCAACCTTAACTCTTTGACTAATTTCAACTGGACAGTAATATTTAAGAAATGCTCCTTTCAATGGTTTCAACTCAATTTTACAATTTCCTATTGTGATTTGTCGTTTTAATAAGACAGAAATAGCTTCTTGATGCGTTGTGAATTCAACAAAAGCTATCCTGCCATACGATGAAAGAAGCGTTCCCATATTTTTGATTTCACCAAATTGTTTTAAAACTGGATAAATTTTCCATAAACACTGTACATGCTGAATGGAGAAACAAATAGACGAATAAAAAATAAATTGAATAGAAAAAAGCAAAAAAAAAGTGTTTTTCACATCTCTTACAGTGTACGGTGTCATCCATTTTAATTGAATGGCATTATTTGTAATATCCTCCATATCCTCCCTGTTAAAGGCTCTGTACATCGATTTTAAAAGATTCATTTCAAATATACCAAGATGCACAACGACTAGTTTATTTATAACTCCTTTGAACTGAGAAAAAGTAATTCGAATATTGAACAATTATGGTATTGAAAAATCAATAAAATATGAGAAACTCAACCTTGTCAAAAGATACTTGTCAATTGTGACAGCAATGTCGAAACAGATAGCATTACATGAGGAAATAATGTAAACATAAACAACATACATAACCAAACATTTTTGCTGGTCGTTCGCCAGCAGAGGTCGCAACGGGAGCACGTTTCGCGATGAACGAAAAAATTGTTATTATATTATATATAATATATATAACAATATTATTTTTTCAGCAGCGTTGTATTACTTTTGAGTGATTTGCCCCTCGGTTCTTACTAACGAGCGAAGAAGAAAGTATGGTGAAAGAGCTGACCGTCAGAAAAACTCCAATCGACAAAATTCACGTGAATCCAAAGAAATGATCAAGCTCTGCATATTGAAGCATATGCTCAATCTCTTGGGCTAATGTTTGTTCTCCTGTATGAGAGCAGGATTTTCAGGTGTTCGTCTTTCTTAATAAGTCGACCAGCGCTTTTATGTATAAATATTTCCAATGATTCTGTTTAATAATTCGCATTTTTCTTTTTGTTTTCTTATTTTTTTATTTATAGATCATGTGTTTTGTTTAATACAAATTATTTAAAACGTTGTTTCTTTCTATATCAACACTAATCTGAAAATTATTGTTTATGCATATACGCAGTTGTTTCGATTTTTATTCTTGTCTTGTCTACTGTGTGCTTGACTATTCAAATGGAAAACCAATTACAGGAACTTTTGCACAACGATGAACGTCTCTATAAGAAAGTGTGAGCCAGTAACGTTGCACTTCCGAATCAACTGCAGGAAACTGAGAAAAAGAGGAGAATATCAAAAAAAAAATAATTAAAAAAACATAAAACAAAAATTCTATTTACCTTTCTTATCGTCAGTCTGTAATACCAAGGAACGTGATTTAACACTATGATTGTTCTTGGGGCACCCAGGGCCCCCAGCGAACTTTAAAGTTGAATAAAAGTACTAAACAGTGTATAAACCAACCGGAGCTAAGTCTCATTGTATAGATTGAACATTTCTCTACACGAATGAAAAAAAAAACATATGCATATGTGTGAGTATGTGTAAAATACAGCCTGCCGCAAAACATGTTACGCTGTTGTTCTTGGGGGACCACAGGGCCCCATGGCTATTTTATATTATAACTGGACTATGATAGGAGATATCGACTTGGTGTCTGTGACGAAGTTGTAGTACTCAAGCTGTTCTACAACTTTGCCGAAGACAACAAGTCGTTATCTCTTATCAGTTTCGCGGAATACGCGAGAAACCGCAGAAAACCGCGAAAAAACGCGTTTTCTTCCTTATCATTTTTCACGGAACTGATAAGAGATAACGAAATAATGAATCGGAATAATTGTAGTACTCGACCAGAACTACAACTTTGCCTTGACACCATCTCGTTATCTCTTATCAGTTCCGTGAAAAATGATAAGGAAAAAAACGCGTTTTTTCGCGGTTTTCTGCGGTTTCTCGCGTATTTCGCGAAACTGATAAGAGATAACGACTTGGTGTCTTCGGCAAAGTTGTAGAGCAGCTTGAGTACTACAACTTCATCACAGACATCAAGTCGTTATCTCTTATCAGTTACGCGAAAAAACGCGAAAAACGCGAGTTTTTGATAATCGTTTTTCGCGAAACTGATAAGAGATAACGACTTCATGTCTATGGTGAAGTTGTAGTACTCAAGCTGCTCTACATTTCTGTCAAAGAGGCAAGTCTCTTACTTCTTATCAGCTTCACTAAAACGATGTGGGAAAATTTTGCGATTTTCGCGTTTTTTCGCGTTTTTCGCGGAACTGATAAGAGATAAGCAATATTTGTTGCACCAAAATTATAGCAAACTTTGAGTATTACAACTTTGCTTCAGACACTAATTTGTTATCTCTTATCGAAGTACAGATTTCATATGAAGTATCTTGGGGGCCCTGGAGTCCCCCAAGAACAGTAATATGTTGCAAATATGAAGAACAGTCATAGTGTTAAATAAGTTCTTTCTCTGTACGTAGTATTTTCAATTGTAGTATAGTTATATTTATCGGTGAACGCACTGCTATTGAATTGTTCCAGATTTAATTTTATTTTTGGTATTATTTCTTTCTGTAGATGTTTTTCAATTAGATTAGCATTTTCATCGGTGAAGACTATGTCAATATAAGAGCTGGTTTCGAATTGCAAAAATTCAAGATTTGGGAGACCAGACTGAAGACGACCCGTGTGGAAATTTTCTGACTGACTAGTCAGTCGATTAATTTGGGACTTTTTGATCGACTAAGAGAAACTAGAAGTGATTGTCTCGAACAAAATAAGCAACTACAGTTAACTATAATCACAAATCACTCTTAGTCAAAATGTCACTGACTGAAAGAATAACTAAACGTGATTGTCTCCATACAAAACGCATGATTTCGATCAACTTAGCCAGTTTTAGTTGTGTATCACTACATACAGCTGCATACAACTGAGTGACTGTTAGTCATTTTATTTCCACACGGGGAATTATATATGATTCAATAACATCACGGGTAGGTCAATGCTTCATCGACAGGCAACGATTAAAGTCCGAAAATGCAAATTTTTTTATAGTTTTCATTTCACAATTGGATTTATGCGTTGTCATATTCCGCACTAGATCATTGGCCAATCCAGAAGTTGTACGCTTAGTTGAACACAGCAAGCGACAAGTAAGATTAAATGCTGATAAATTATTCGAAATCATGTTGTCAATACAAACTAAACGAATATCAATTTTTAGATTCGTGGCTTCGTTGGATATCATAAGATGCTAGAAAGGGATCTCTATTTGCTTGTTTGTCTGGCTTTCAACCACTGGCACACAGGAATCGATGATCCATCGCTTTATCCTCAATGCGTACTCGCGATCCATATTTCGAAAAGATTATTGGTCGAGCAAATAGTTCCACCGCCATGCATTTTGGCCGATTCCATTATCAATTTAACCCTGGCGAAAGGCCAACGGCATGAAGGTCGTGAAGGAATGACGGCTTACTACTTAACGAAGGTGAGTTTGCTCATTGGTCACTAAACAAATGTTTAATTGAAAAATCGTTACATTTCTCTTTGAATTTTTAATGATTTGCTTGTTTGTTGAATCCATAGGGCTGGGCTGGTTTAGTGGTTATGGTTGAAAATCGCCATGAAAACAAGTGGATCCATGTGAAATGTGATTGCCAAGAGAGCTATAACGTTGTATCAACGCGTGACGAATTGAAAACTGTCGACTCAGTTCCGCCACTACAAAGGTATCCTATTACTATGCATGACTCTTCGAAACATTTAAATGCTAATTTTGTTTTCATTGTTAAAATATCTATAATCAATTATTCAACGTTTAAACTACCATCGTAAGATTGTATCCCAAGATCTAAGTTGTGGTCGGTTTTAAGTGAGTACGGGGTTAATGGGTCATTGTTGAGTGCAATTAAGAGTTTGTATGCATGTAGTGAAGCTGCTGTGCGTGTAGATGGAGAATTGAGTGATTGGTTTGAGGTGCGCAATGGTCTTAGACAGGGTTGTACAATTTCACCGCTTCTGTTTATTATTTACATGGATAAAATAATCAAATCAGCCAAGCTGAGGGGTAACGTAACTTTGGGTGGTAATATTATTTCTGCGTTAGCGTATGCAGATGATCTGGTCCTGTTTGGCAGTTCTGAACAAGAATTGCAAAACAGTATCAGTGACCTAGAAGCGGCTTGTTCAAGCTTTGGCATGACCATTAGCAGCTCAAAGACACAAGTAATGCATGTGGGAAAGATTCGAAAGACGATCAATTGTGTTTTGAATGGTAGTGTGCTTGAGCAAGTGTCAGAGTTTAAATATTTAGGATGTGTTTTTTCAGAAGATGGAAAATTCAACAAAGAATTTGAACATCGTAGAGTGAATGGTAATAAGGTAGTGGCACAACTTAGATCGCATGTGTATAATAAGCATGAATTGAGTGAAGAGACGAAGTTGATGATTCACCGGTCAATCTTCAGACCAACTGTCTTGTATGGAAGCGAGAGCTGGGTCGATTCTAATAACTTAATCCATGATCTTGAGGTATCAGATATGAAAGTGTTACGTATGATTTCTGGAGTGTCGCGTAGAGACCAGTGGGAGAATAGAATAAGGAATGAGAGAATTCGTGAGGATTTGAATGTTGATTCGATTGATGAGGCTGCAAGAAAGTCGAGATTGAGATGGTTTGGTCATGTTCAATGTATGAATGAGTCACGTTTACCTAAGTTAATTTTGAATGCTGAAGCGAATGGTCCGAGAGGTAGAGGTAGACCGCGAAGACGGTATTTTGTCTAACACATCGCTTGGCCAATTCACGTGGCTTACACGATTGGGCAACACCGGGAAATGTAACTCACTGTCCGCCAATCGATACCGTGCATGGTTTACATGCTCCTCGTTTAATCACGTGATGTGATATAACAATTCCATAAAACATTTACTTTTAAACAAACAAAACAGAGCTATTTTATAACTAAGATACAAACAAACAAAAAAACAAATCTTTTCTTGTGCAATGTTAAATTGAACGATGTATGTACGAATTCATTTTATTCACATGCAGAAAACAAAACAAAAATACTTTATAAAATTCATTCATTGTATTTAATAAGCACAAGCAAAAACGAACGAACAAAACGATCGAAATCGAAGAGGGAAATTTTGGAAAATTGTGATAAAATGGAATGAAGAATGCTTTCTTTTTGGTCGTATTCAAATTAAATATGGACGATTCAGATAAAGAAGAGCCCAAATAACAAACACGAATGGACGTTCTTGCGGTTTAAACACACATCACGTTTCAAACTTACGCATCAATTCAACAATGGCTATAAAAATGGAACGTTTTTAGTTTTTACTCAATCAAAAATCATCTCCAATTGCGACGATCAATAGCTAAAACCGATTTGAAATTAAATTCAATGCATCACAAAAATTCTTGTGTTTTGAATCGAGGAAATAGTATTTTTTTATACATAGTAGCAGATTGCGTATTTTAAATGCTTTCAACAATCATAAACATATTGCAGTTCAGGTTTGGTGCTCTTCAATATAAAAAGAGAAATCAGTGCATCACACGTGTAGGCAAAGCAAACAAAATGAAAACGTTTGATTCTTCTTCGTATGCGGCCATATCTTAATGCTGCATAGGAGATTTTCAATTTTCTCGATGTTCGAGCACCCCTATGACACAACCACTCTTTTTTGCCCCGACTATTTTTTAATTTACAACTCAGATTAGCATTTAAGATTTAAAACGGATTTCAAGTTATTCGATATTATTTTTTGGAAATTACCTGAACATAATGCTAGTGGGCGGTTTTGAATGTAGACGTAGAGAGATAGAGAAGGAGAGTATCAATGAGATTGAGCAAAAGACGAACACATCTAAACGGATCCTATATACTCAAAATTTGACAGACAGAAAACAGCAACACAACAACAACAACAACAAAAAATGTTCATTAAGATTCTAGCTGTTTAACGGATAATAATATTATGTAATAAAAAGAAAATTATATTCAATTAATTTCCGATATCAATTCTAATTTTATTCGATCTCTTAATTTATACAGTATTTTATGTGTTCAAAATGTGTAATGAAATGCAACTGACGCTCAGAATCGGCGAATGGGCACTGTATTCATTTGCTTGGAGGTGTCTTCTGGCACTCGAACCAGCAATTGTCTGTGGACGGGAAAAATGATTGATTCCAACCGATATATTAAAAATAAATGTCATTAAATACTAACGATTTTGGTCCAGTGTTCCAAACAACACTGTCTCCATCGATGACACAAGCTTCTAATGTGAGTTGCCATTGTCCGCCGGATACCGTATTGAATTGCCCGGCTGGTCCAGCTGGCTGTATATTGTTCAACGCTATCATGAAGTTTCCCGTCAAAAAGTCTCTGTGCGGTTTCACGGTTTGTGTCAACGTTATTGTGTCACTGGCCATTTTGAAGTCGGTCGTTTTCGGTGAAATCAACTGCGATGTAAGCGTCAATTGAACTGAATCCACTGAACGATACAAACTTGGAGTTTTGCCATGATGTTGAATCACACCTTCAACTTTCACCACCAAACTGCTTCCGGGTTGAACAATGACTGTATCCAAAAACAAATTAGTATTAAAAATGTCGAATGTAGATTTCAATCAAATCTTCTTGTAATTGCTTACCTGGATCACCAGCAATACGAGGCTGTGGGCTAATCGACAATTTGATCGACGTATTTTGTAACACTTGGAAGAAGAATCGAGGCATACAAATTGGCATTTGCATCAAAACCTCCAGTTGATTCAGTATCAGTTCTGTGTGTCGATTGGTGATAGTCTTCTGATTGCTTTGCTCCGACGGCAGATGTTTTGTTAATTCATTCTGTATTTTGCGACAAGCAGCGAGGAGAAACTTTGTTTCCGGGTACGATCCATCTGATGGCGTGTTTGGAGGCTCCGAAGGTGAAACAAAGCAAATCGTCTCAACGGAGTAACTTAAGATCGCACATGCGTGCTGGTTGCTAATGGTGGGAATATATTTTAGTTTTTTTTTTTCTTTCTAAATTGATATGGGAAAAAGGAGTCGAAAAATACGTACATTTCGAGAAACTCTAGAGTGCTGGGATCAGCATCAAATGCAAACTTGTACAACTTCAAATATGAATCTTCGCACGTTTTCAAAATCTGCAATGAAAACCATTGAAAACATTTTTAAAATCGAAAATAGAGTTATCTCTGGTCAAATGTGAAAGGATAGAAATCACTTACTTTGACTGCCTTTCTCAATTGATTCGTAACATGACCGAATTTCTGTAAATAATCACGTGAATTTTGTGCCAATGTTTGTGCGATGATCGGAGGCGGTGTGATACTCTGCGTGTTTTTGATAATGACCAAATTGAACATCGCTTCTAGGAATTGTCCACGCAACCGTACAAACTCCGTTTGAAACGTCAATGGATGATTGGTCGACGAACTTGCTTTTAATGTTGCCAACGCCTTCCAATAGAGTGACACTGACCTCTCCAAACGTTCAGCTAACGTTAAAGTACTCTGCAATTTCTTCGTAGCTCCATCTCGGCTTGAAGTTTGTTTATAGTATTCATCAATTGTTTCGAATTCACAACCATAATTCAAGATACACTCAGCTTTCGATATCTGGCTTAAACCACTCAGGAAAAAGTGTAATTTCTCCAATGAAACATTCGATGACAGTCTCTCATAGATCGTTGATGCGAGGTAATGATGACCGTATCTGTGATGAAAATCGCATTTTTGGTACAGATATTCTATTTTACTTTTTGAACTTTGAAAAAGTATTTATATTTAAGTAAATTTACCTGGATGCCGATCTGGCGATACGATATTGAGTCCAATAATTGGTTGCTTTCAAAACTCGATCAAAAGTGTGCAACACTTTGACGGGTAAAAATGTGCCGAGCATCGATTGCAAACACACTGCCGAAAGAGTTTCAACAATTGGCACTTGATCGTCGCTGATGGTGGTGGTGTTAGCGATTGCGTCCAGTTTTTTCAGAAGTTTTGGTAGCATTTCATGGAATGCGCTTGTTGGCCGGAAAACATCATCTTCGTCATCAACTTCCATGGCGTTGGAATCGGTAGGAAGGGCGAATGAAGTGTCGATGATTTGTTTCATGTACTGTGATCCCAGTGCGCCAAGAGTTTCACATAGCAAAGTCAAGTGCTTTGAGGGATATACTAATGTCGGAACAAGTAAATTACAATCAAAATTATTGACTTTTTTTTTCTTCACAAAAAGCATAAAAAAATCTGATGAGTTGACACCTACCAAAATTATCAGTAAGAAGACAACCGACGATATCCAAGAATCGATGACGAAAATCTTGATTATACTGCGACAAAGTGACGCCACACTTCAAATAGTTTTTCAGCTCCTTCTCCAGTTTGACGTCGACCATCGACACATAAATCAAACTTTCAATATGCAAATCGATTTGATCGACATAACTAATTGTAGGCGGAATTCTCTCGGTGTAGCAATATGTGACGAGTTTGGTTAAAATTCCCAGTGCTTTGCTGGTTGCCGCATGATGTTCCAAGACCAAACATGACGTACAAAGTTCAAGTACAATATTTTGTTCATCGTTAAGTAGTTGATTACACGAGACAGGGCATTCCGTTAGAGTTAAAACCACATTCAGAACAAGGCTTTGTTCATCTCCCATATCACTAGAATGAAGAGGATGAAAATTTAGGAAAATGATGTGTATTTTAAAAATAAATTCAAAATCATCTCACTTGCAATGCATAGCTTTGGTTAGAAGCGTTTGTAATGCTCCTTTTGGCCACAAGTGTGCACCTTTCAACGCCAATAATCGCATTGAATGCAAAATCGAGTATCGAACGCCCTTTCGTGGATCTTTCAAATAAGTCAATAGCAACGTCACTTGATCGGGAATATCAACCAAGGTGGCACACGACAGTTGTGTGAGTGAATTCAAAATGACCACTACAAAATCTTCGGATGGGTATTTTGGCAGAAGGTTTCTACACAATGATTTCACCAACGCAGCAGTGTTCGCATCGTGATGCATGTGTTTCAGAACGGGAATCAACTGAAGTTTCATTTTGATTGGTGTTTGCAAGGATTCAATCATCGATGCTACTTTTGAGCACATACTGATGGCGAATGATCTGAAATTACAGACAAATTCAATTAGCGACAAATTCAATTGGCAACGCCACAGAAGTTGGTATTTCAAATGGATTTACTTTGATTGTGCGGCAAATAAAACGGATGCATCGATTGCAGCCTCAATTTCAACAATGTCATGGCTATCAAGCGCCCTACGAATTGCATGATGAACTTGTTGCTTCTCTGGTATGACACCGGCCACCGCTCCTAGCGTTCTCAGCGTTAGAGCTCTGGCTATTGGATCATTCGAATGAATGACCATGAAGACACGTCGTACAAATTCGTCGACATTGATAATTTTGTCGGTATGTTTCTCACTCTGTTGACACACTCTCAACACCCATAAGCGCAGTAAGTTTGATCCAACGCGAAAAAATTCAGCCAATTTCAAAAACGATGAATTGATTAAAATTGGAAATGGATATTTTTCAAAGATTTTCGGAAATCGAACGATTGCTTCACATTGTTCACCGATTTTCGTCGACCGGAGACCTGCAAATGTATGAATCCATTGTGATGAAGTCTGTATACAATGTACGTGAGGTTCAATCACACTATTTACCTTTGTCCAATTCAGTTAAAATCGATGTAGCATCTTGCTCAGTTTCGGTGGAAAAGTTTTCACTAAACGAATTCATTCGAATGCCCAAGGTATTTGTCATAATTCGATGGAAAAATAAGAAATCCAAAAAAAAAAATCTGTTGTCGTTGGCTTTTGATGCGGTGCGTGTATTATTTGTTTTCTGTCACTCCTGCATTTGTAGGCTTTGACTTTTGAATCTGTCACTCATCGTTCAGCGGCGGCAACACCATATATTCATTTTGACAGCGACAATTCGCATGCTGTCAAACGAGACGAACACGCGTGCTTAACACACAACAAAATATTCCGTTTTGAATAGAATCAAATACCGAATCAACAGAAAGTTCAAGAAATATGGAGAAGAAAAAATTTAAAAAGCATCAAACCAAAAGTAAAAATGCACAAGGCAAAAAGTCGAATGGTGTTAAAAGTGGAGGCAAGTCGGAATTTAAAGGAAAAATCAAAGGTGGTGTACGTGAAGATGCTGAAATTAAATCGTTGCTAGAAAAATATCCAACGATAAGTGCGAAGAAAGTTGAAAAATTCAGTGATTTTCCACTGTCCAGGAAAACGTTGCAAGGACTACAGAAGAGTAATTATGCCAAACCGACAGAAATTCAGCGCCAATCGATTGGATATGCACTTCAGGGTCGAGATATATTGGGTGCAGCCATCACCGGCAGTGGCAAAACATTGGTGAGTCTCCTTATTAATTATCCGTTACATGAATTGGATAATAAATTTTCTGTCAATCTCATTCATCTGTTTGCAATCCACAGGCCTTTTTAATCCCAGTAATGGAGAATCTGTTTGTTAAGAAATGGGTGCGTCAAGACGGAATTGGAGCAATCATCATTTTACCCACAAGAGAATTGGCTTATCAAATTTTCGAAACACTTAAAAAAGTTGGTGCTCATCATGACTTTTCGGCTGGTTTAATTATCGGTGGGAAAAATTTAAAATTTGAACGCACACGAATGGATCAATGTAATGTGATTATCTGCACACCCGGCCGATTGCTGCAGCACATGGATGAAAATCCATTGTTCAACTGTTCGTCGATGCAAACTTTAGTTTTGGATGAAGCCGATCGTTGTCTTGACATGGGTTTCGAAGAGTCAATGAATGCAATCATTGAAAATCTACCACCCGAACGACAAACACTTCTATTTTCGGCCACTCAAACCAAATCGGTCAAAGATCTTGCACGATTGAGTCTTCGTGATCCAGTCTACGTTGCTCCGCACGAGCAACAGGCCGTCATTACACCAGCTGCGCTGAAACAAAACTACGTAGTCATCGAATTAGAGGATAAACTAACAATGCTTTGGTCATTCGTCAAGAATCACTTGAAACAGAAAACTATCGTTTTTATGGCGACGTGCAAGCAAGTTAAATACATTTACGAGATATTCTGCAAACTTCGACCAGGTGTCAGTGTTATGGCATTGTACGGTACATTGCATCAGGACCGTAGAATGGCCATTTATGATGAATTTTGCCGCAAAAAGAATGCAGTATTGCTTGCCACCGATTTGGCTGCTCGAGGTCTGGACATTCCAGCAGTTAATTGGTCTATGCAATTGGACGCACCGTCAGATCCAAATGAGTATATCCATCGAGCCGGCAGAACAGCACGAAACACTGCACACGGTGAAAGTTTGCTGGTTCTACTGCCAAGCGAAGAAGAAGGCATGGTAAAAGAGTTGACCGACAGAAAAATTCCAATCAATAAAATTCACGTGGATCCAAAAAAAATGTTCACACCACGTGCCAAGATCGAAGCCTTTTTGGCACAAAACAAAGAATTGAAGGAGTCAGCACAGCGTGCTCTCATCAATTATGTTAAATCGATTGCACTGATGAAGAACAAAGAGATTTTCAAAGTTGAAGCTCTGAATATTGAAGCATACGCTCAATCTCTTGGGCTAATGTTTGCTCCGCGCGTGAAATTTTTGCAAGGTGTAAAGTATTTCGCAGAGAAGAAGAAAGCTGAATCGGAAAAAGGAAAAGCGAATGATGATGATATTGCTCAAAAATTGGAAACTAATGACAGTGATGGAAGCGAAAATGAAAGCGAAGGTGACGACAGCGACGAGGAGTCAGGTGATGAAGAGCAGGAAGGAGAAGAAGAAGATTCTGGAGATGAAGACGAAGACGAATCAGAATCTGAGTCAGAAGAAGAGTCAAATGCTTCGGCAAAACCAAGTAAAAAGCCAAGCAAAGTAGACAAAACAAACCAATTCAATGAATCATCTGACGATGATGAAGGGGACGATTTCATGCGGATAAAACGTCGTGACCACGAAATCGAGGAGGATACGTTGCCCGAAGTACCGGATTTGGCCGAAGTCAAATCGAAAAAGCAAAAGGTTGTTACAAAGGCAGCGCTCGCCAAAAAGTTGATCAAAAAGAAGATTTTGCCGAACAAAAAGGTCGAATTCGATGAAGAAGGCAATGAATTGGAAATGGCAAACAAACTGAAATCAGATCTAGCTAAAGAATATGAACAGTCCACAGAGTGTGGTATTGATATTTCGAAAGCCAGAGAATTGATCAAAGAGGAGGATAAATTCGATAAGGAGCGATTCAAGCAAATGGTCAAAGCCAAACACCGGAAAAAGAAATTGAAGAGCAAAAAAGACAAGAATGATCAGGGTGAACAGGATGATTTCGGAAGCGAAGAAGAGAGCGACGGACCAGATATGTCGTGGTTGCCAGATCCAGACAAAATCTATGGCAACAAATCGAATGATGTGTCCGATACAGAGAGCGAAAGTGGATTCGGTGCCCGTCAAGTGGTTAACTCTTCAAGCGATGATGACAGTGAATCCGAAGAGGAACAACCAGTTCACAAACCGAATAAAAGAAAACTTCGAATTCGAAACGATGATAGCGATCAAAGCGAAGAAGAACTGTCAACGTCGAAGAAAATTCGGAAAATCACATCAAAACTTACGGTCGATGATGCCGAATCATTTGCCATGCAACTTTTATCGAAGTAACACACTTTTTAACTCATTGAAAATTTCGAATGTATATAATTTATATTTTTTATTTCCAAACAGTTTAAATTCGTAATAAATTCTATTATTATAAAAAAAAATAACATTCGCATTAAAAACCCATTTGCCATTTTTGTTCAATTCACTCAGAAATCTATGAACTCGATTCTTTTTTCCCTTCTTTTTCTCCCACTCCTTCGGCCTCATCGATTGGAATCCAATCTTTTGGATTGCGAAGAATCTCCAGCAATCTGCTCTCATCGGAATTTTTCGGTGGCTCGTGCATGTACTCCCATTTCTAAAAATTAGCAATTAAAATTAGGTTTTATGAGCTTGGAACAAGGGTTGAAACAAACACTAAATTTTTAATTTGTTTAATTTCGATTCGACTCACCGCCAACAAAGGCAACGACATTAAAATACTTTCGTAGCGAGCGCCTGGTGTATATAGCCCAAACTTTGTGCCACGATCATAAATCAAATTGAATTCAACGTAACGACCACGTCGCAATAACTGCCATTGACGCTCTCGATCACCATAGAATTCGTTCTTATGTGCTCCCACTGAAATTGTATGAAAATAAAGGGTGAAGTAATGAAAATTTATGGCTATTTAAAGGATTGCTGTAAATGTGTTAGTTAATATACATGGCATGTACCAATAGGCAAATAAGATGGGATAACAGCGTTTGCACATGACTGTACAAAGTTGAAGGCGGCTTCTTGTGATGGTGTGTCAATGTCGTCAAAGAAAATTCCACCAACTCCACGACACTCTCCACGATGTGGGATACGAAAATACTTATCGCACCATTTCTTGAATCTGAAATCGAGTAAGAAATATATCACTTGAACGCCTAAATCAATTTCAGCATATTCTATATCAAAATAATCCTTACTTTGGATAATAGGTAACGTCATGTTCATCACAAGCTGCCTTTAGTGTTTCGTGGAAGTGAACGGTGTCAGCTTCATTGAAATAGTATGGTGTGAGATCTGTTCCACCGCCAAACCACCACTGTTTTTGGCCCGTGCTCGTGTCATCGACCTCAAAATAGCGATAATTGAAATGAATGGTCGGAATTATTGGGTTTCTGGGATGAATGACAGCGCTAACGCCGGCTGCAAAGAATGGTAATGGTCCTTCGCCTAAGTTTTTGCCACGTGAACGCATTTGTTGCACAGCTGCCGCTGGAAGTGTGCCAGACACCACTGAAATATTGACGCCGGCCTTCTCAAATACATCACCATCCTGTAAAACACATGTTATACCGCCACCACCCTCTTTGCGTTGCCATCGATCCACAATGAATCGTTTGCCAAAATTCTCCTCATTTTCCAGTGAATGCACAAAATCCGTTTGGATTTTCATAATAAATAATTCCATGCGCGTTTTCATATCATCCGGATGGGCTGTCAATTTGTCGACATCGGTAATTGGCTCGGCCAAATACTGCTTGAAATTGAATTTTTTCTTTGACTCCAAATGAACACATGTTACTGAGAGATATGTCGCAATACCGGTGCCAACCACAAATGACCCGATAAATCTGTTGATAAATAGAATTGTTTATATTTTTATTTAGAAATCGAATGAATGCAATGACAAATATGTCAAAAATTATATCAAAACACACTTCAATTTGGGTGACTGTGACCGTAAATTTTCAGTAGCCAACGGCACTCGCCGGCCAAATGTAGTCGCACAATTCCGTACCAATCGAAACATTATCAAACTCTGAACTACTTTTGTTAAATTTTCAAGTCTTGAGTGCCGCTATAATTATATTGCATATTTTCAAACAACAACGCCAACACACCACAACGACTCTTTCGAATAACAACTCCAGAAATACCGTGTTATCAAAATAAACCAAAGTTTCTTATCTTGTTTCTATTCAATTTTAATTTTGACACTAGAAAAACAACATTTCTATACCACAACCCAGGTTACCAGATTGATTAAACTGTTGAATCCGTGATAATTGTTTGTGTTACAACATAAAACGCGATTTATCACACGGCTGAACAGTGAAAACGTCAAACAAATGAGACAACGGGAGAATTATTAACAGTGTAGAAATAAAAAAGAAAGCACGTACGAATGAAAGAAAGAGGAGTACAGACAACAACATACCAATACCAGTACGATAAGGTGGAAACACACAGTCTATGATAATGTCAGATGGAACTGTCATAGTTGTAAGCATGTGTTTGTTTGACAGGTCACTTTTTCTTCGTGTATTATTATGCTGTTTGTCATTGTTTCCACAGTTGACGAACAATATCCAAATAAGTTTTGAAATGTGCGACATGAGACTCATTCGAAGGCTTGGTTAACCACCAAAAACTTTATATACATAAGCACATGCACACACTCACATAACGCTTAATGTGTCCCCTAATCAGAATGGACGTTTCCAATCCACGAGTCATTTTTGTGCTATAATACAAAAACAAAAATATAACGTCAACTTTGCAGATGTTTACGTTGTAATGAAATCGTATCGTATTTCACACAGCCACACCGCACTTAGACTTTCGGTTTGGAGCGAGTGAGACGACGTGTGCGTGTGGTATCTATTTACATGCATGTTAAGCCCAAAGTCAAATACGAAGTTTTGTTTTTGTAGTGTGTCAACAAATACACTGGAATCGAGACGTTTGATTCGCATTCGCTGTTGAGTATAGTGGAATTTTTGTGCAACACGGTCGAAGCAAAAACAAGTGTGCAAAGCACATTCATCGTTGTTTCCATATGGTTTTTATCGATGATTTTCTGCTTCTGTGTCATGCTGCATGTGTATAAGAGTGTTGATCGTAGTGAAAAATAAAAGAAGAAGAAGAGAAAAAAAAACAACATTCTCTCGCTCGTGCTACCTTACACACTGCGTTAGGTGGGCAAAGAAGAGAGACGAACAATAGAAGAACATACGAAATAAATAAATAAATAAATAAGTATTAATAAAACGTTCAGTAGTTGCTATTCGTGCTTTCAACGTAGGTTCTCTACTTATACAATTAGACAACATTCCATTCGACAAAAACAAAATAGAGAGAAATTCGCGTTTTATATTTCATTATTGATCTGTCAAAATAGTCCCGCAATGCTGCTGTTACTAGTTAGTGTTATTCAGACCAATTCCGTGTAATCGTCATCAATGTAGAGAGACAGAACGACAGAGCGAAACGAACAACACGACACAAAAATAAAAAGAAAGAGACGGAGAAAAAAACAACAACGACTGAATTAAACTGTGCAATTTATCGACGACCATATAACAACAGTACGAAAAATTTCATCTTGTTGTCGAACGCGTAATTTAATTTAATTCAATCGTTCGTAGTGCGTCGAGACGAATTTGAACTCAGAGGTGATATCTTAAATCACATTATCACACACTGTTTTGTTGATGTGTTTTATTTTGTTTTTGTTTTTTTCTGTTCGTTTTGATTCGATTGATAAAGAGAAACAAAACAGAACAGAAACATTGAACAGACGACCACCCTGTCTCTTTGTTATAATTAAACATTTGTTCAGCGATAATTAGAGTGAAACCAAAAAAAAAAAGTTAAACTAAAATCGAAAGACTGGCAGATTTTTTTTTGACATAAGTGACGAATATTTAAATTACATTTGTGGGTGGTTCCAAACGGTCTCCTTAAAAAAAAAAAAAAACTAACTAAAAACCAGTTTCGGTTGAATTGTGTTTGTGACTTGATATTTTATCAACAACATTTTTTTGCGATTTGTTTCGATTACGAGAGTTGAATCATTCTGAAGATTCTGCTAGAAATACTTCTTGTTTATATTTTAACGTTCCAAAATGAATTGGCATTTGTGGAGGAACACCATATTTGTCGAGAGGATGACGTGAAACAATAAACAGTTTTAATCATTTGTTCAAGTCATTCTCGCTCGAATGCTCGCTAGAATTCAAAAAATGTGAAATTAAGATGCAAACATGTTTATCATTTTTGAGAGGGAGTAAACAGCTTCTCTGGTTATAGATCCAGTTGTGTTACTCATCGCGTTGCGTGTACATGATAGATAAGGAGTACAAGGATATTTAGTGAGCTTTGTGCCTTAATGGAATCGTTACGTTTAATGTGTAATTAATTTTATTGCATATGGGTGCAATCATCAATCAAACACACTTTCCTTCTCTGTCTCTTTTTTTTTCTCTTTCTCTTTCTTTCGCTCACTCTGTTCATCCCATTGAGGCTCCAACCAAGTATCCGTCAAATTTTCTATTTGGTTCGCGTTCATTTTGTGCCATTGTCGTCGTCCTGTGTGTAAAAGAAAAAAAAATGATTTGTACAAAGTACGTCGTAAACACACAGGCACATACGTACACCCATCGATGTGAATTTATGTGAGTGTTGTCCACATTTGCATACACTCAAATTTGCCAATAAACATTTATATTTTGTACGCGAGGGAGAGAAAAAAAAACAATGAACACCGAGTGAAAAAGAGGAAAAAAAGTTAAAGGAAAATACGATGGTTGATTTTCAACGGCTGCGAAATGCGTATATGCGAAAATAGGACGGAAAAATGTGTGTACGAATTGATGAAAATCCATTTTATGCGCAAACGCATACACAACACTCCAATTTTCAAACGAAGAAAAGTGAAAAAAAAAAATAAACGCAATAGCCACTTTTCCACGCTGTGCTTTCTCTCTGAGTGTGTGTGCTTTTTACTTGCCACGGTCTCTAACGCTTTTTCAGTCCATCTCTCTTAATTCTTGTTCTTGGTTTTATTTGATCGTGGTTTTCGGTGGTGTGTACGTACTTGCTCCATTTCCATATTCCCATTTTGGTATGCGAGTAACGTGCGCCATGTGTATGCCACATGTGTGTTGCGTATACACGTTGCGAAAAAGAAATTGTGGAAATCGAATGCACCGTGTGCCTCTCCACTGCGACCGAAATATTCGCAAAATCGTTCCATCTCGTTCGTTTCGTGGCCAAATGATAAGTGACGACGCATTAGACACATGTTTGTCGACAGTAAATTTTGCACCCGATAATGAATGAAGACTGATTAACTAATTGATCGGGCTGTGAACGATTTTTGTGATAGATATCGTAACGAGAAAATTGATTATTTTCATAAGTAAGCACAGTGCAAAGGGCTTTTCGAGTAACGTTGTTACGAATAATATGAGAAAAACGGCGAATAAGCACGTTTCACACTCATACACACACACACACACTGTCTTTCTCCTTTTGTTCCTCTCTATCTTTCGATCACGAAGATTACTATTCCCGAATGCATTACAAAGGTTTTCGTACGTGCCATGCGAAACGCCTGCTACCAACATCATGGATGGCATCGATGTCGATGTATTGTCTGAATGTGTGCACTAAAGTGCGATATATTCTGCGTTCATTCGACATTCGGACCAAAAGCAGCGAAACAAATGTTTCCATGTAAATGGGCTTTCAGATCGCGTGTGGTAGTGATTCTCTCGATTTGATCCAACAATCGCATTTAATGGGAGAACTCACACTAACTCGCTCGCATGTGTGTGTGTGTATGTGTGTCTGAGTATGTGTGAGCGCAAACTATGCTTGTCGAGAGTGGTAAAAGTGAACAAATCATCAAACGCCACCAATACTGAAATATCATACCGTAGAGAAAACCTTTGGAAATGTGAACGCAAAAGCACCGCACATACATACACGTGCGCGCCCAAAAGACGCTTTCTCCCAAAACCACCACAATCAATGTTATATAATTTGGTTTTGTTGTTCCTGATGTGATTGTTGTGTACATGAATAATGAAAACGCTCGCCTGATTCGTATGTATATGAGGGCCAGCAGTGGAGCAACAGCACAGCAGCAGTATGTGAAAGCAACAAAAACTTATTTTGCAGGAGAAGCATCCGAAATAGGGGATGAAAAAGACGTATGCATGCGTATAACGAGTCCATTCCATGTGTTTTCCATCATATACAGATGTATATAGAGAGAGAAAATGTGGGGAATAACCAACATGGTACGAGTGCGAGTGCGAGTGAGCCAACCGCACGTTGGCGACAAGGATGCAACGATTTTGTTCGTGAATTTAGTCGATCAGAGTCGAAAATTCATGTCGAATTCGTTCATGATTTCATTCTAGTGCATAACGTCGCAGATTTAAAAACGTTTCGTTTATTTTTACTTGAATGCTGAAAGTGTTCAAACACTGTGCTATTGTGTGTGGTGCTGGCTTTTTTGCTGGTGTTGTAACAGCCCTTTTGGCTGGCACACAAGCTGTTCTGTTAAATGACTGGTGAATTTTCAAGATTTTAACCAACACATTTCTAAATTCGAACGAAATAAATATTATAACCATTTTTTTTTTCTTCGCCTTCAATCTCCAACTCCAATAATGATAATCATAATAAAATATTAAATTTGTTGCGATTGATTGCAAATAAAACGTTTTGATATTTCTTCTACGTTTGCATTTCTTTTTTGTAACGCCACGAATGAATAAATAAATAATACACAAATATGCAAATATCCAAACAATAATTTTTTTTTTGTGTGAATCAAGAATTTTCTGGCAGATATAAAAAAAAAAACAGACTCACGTACACCAAAAATTCAAACCAATCGAATGATTTATGGGAATTTCAATAAATTGAACCACATCAATTTTGAAAACATATTGATGGGGAAAAAGCAGCGCACAGAAGAATATTTCTTTGGCATATTTGCATATATTGAACGTTGAATTTTGACGAAAATAAGTTTTTGCGTGCTTTTTCACGGTTACTTTTTTTTTAATGTCATATTCGTTTCATTTTATTACGTTTACTTGTTCATTTGTATTCGTACATGTAGCTGAGCTACATCGATAAATCAAAAACCATCAAAAACACATGCGTTCACATCGAAAAAAAAAGTTAGCTGCTCTTTAATTTTGGTTTTTGTGTTTTGAGTTCAACATAATTTCTGTTTGTTTAGTTTGTTTGTGCTATTCGTTTCGGACAACCTTTGACCTAAATTTGAATCAATTGAAACAAATCGTAAAAAGAGCGCGGCCGTAATTAAATTGAAAAATGAAACAAAAAAACACAACTAAACGCGATGCCAATTTATAACCCTAATATAGATTGAATACCATATTCCCCCACATTAATATTCCCACAACACAACGATCTCCATACATGTATATAAAACCAAAGCTTTTATTTTATTCTTCCAGAACAGAGATTTCTTAAACCAAATAACAAAAAAGAAAGGAAAGTAAAGCTTAAAATCACATAAATAAAGAAATCAAACAGAAACCCGTAAAAACCTGTTAAAAAGAAGAAGAAGAAGAAGAATAAAACACAAAAATCCGAAACCAAAATAAAAACAAAATCACATAAACAAAATGAAAAAGTTCACATTCAAAGGTGTGCTCGATGGTTTTCGACAACAGGTTCAACCGCAAATGGTTAAACCTGAACAAGAAATTCCAGAAACATTACGACCCGAACATTTCCAACTGAAAAAGGTAAGTACATACACACCGCATTTTCACTAGTCCCGTACAATATATTATCCAATATTATCGCTAATCAGGCCTCAATATATGAGGCACCTACAACAATACCGACAACAAAATGAGAATGTTAACAAGAGAGGAAAACAGCAAGCAAAAGAAAGAAATCCGTTGCTCGCCAGAAAAAAAAAACATTCAACATATAACAATAAAGAGCGATTTTATTACAATTTAGGAATATGGTGCGTAATCAGTTCGGCTTATCGGGTTTTGGAAATGTATTTTTCGCGCGTATGTATAATATGTAGGACACATTCAAAAGCTACTTGTTCAGTCGTCGACGTTGACAACGACGACGATGACGGCGCCCAGAATATACCTTTTTTCGTCGGATTTCCAATTGACATTCTTGTACTAAGTCGTGGTGGTAATGCCAGCATGCGGCAAGTTCAAATCCTTCAAATCAAAGTCATTAAAAGTTGAACACATTTATTCTAACCGTAAAAGAGAGTCAGACTATATGAATGGTTTGGAGCGAAAATGTAATACAGAAAAGTTGAGCGGAAAAATATAAAATGAAAAGAGATAGCTATATAGTTCACTATAGTTTATTATACAGTTTACTATATAGCTATCCCTTTTCCGCTCATTTATCGTCGACATTTTTCCGCTCAACTTTTCTGTATTACATTTTCGCTCCAAACCATTCATGTGTGCGCGATGCCATAATGAAATTCAGTAATGAACGCTGAACAAACGAACGAACGAACGACCGAAAGAAAGCGAGGCAAAAACGTTCCAGCTTTATGGATGGGATCACGTCGTGCCTTTAATTCAAAACAATAAAATCACATTGAAAAATTCATAATGAAAATATCAAGCACATTGTTGAGCCTGAAAATGGGCCAAACAGCCGAAAAAAGAGGCAGTACACGAAAGATGACAGCGAACAAAGCAGCACACACACGTATGTGTACATTGTACACTGTACAATACATGCGATATGCCATACCGATCAAAACACATGATTCCTTTTCATATGCTCTTTCTCTCTTCAGTCGATTTGTCCCCTTCTCGACGTTGTTGTGTCGAAGGGCTATTTATCGTCAAATTGTCGCTCATTTTATCGTGTATGAGCTTCGTTGAACGCTCAGACTGTGACTCTACCTTTGAACCACATACACATCGAGCCCAAGCGATAATATTAGAAATTTATTGCCATTATTGTTATATGATATATATATATATACGATATTTACATGCCATGCTACTTCGCAGCATTTTATCTGAGACACGAATATACGCACGCAACACACCGAAAAAAAAAGCAGCCTCATAAAATCGCCCATAGTAAATAAGCATACATACATCTCAGAACATAAAGTTTCTTAAATGTGACCGCCTCTATGTAATGTTGATATGCTCGTCTATGCTTGGACGATAAAGTGAGCAAGAGGTTTGTAGATAATAACAACCAAATGTATGGAGAAAAAAGCGCAGAGTTGAGCGGGGTGGCAAACAAGAGAGAAGAAAGCAAAGAACGACAAAAATGCGGATACCTTCGATAAATTTGGACTAATGCCGGTTTGCCTCGCACGGCATAATGCATGACCACATTTGATTTCTCTGCCCGACTCGAATAAAAGAATCTTAAAAATTGAAAACATTGTTCCAGCCTTTTAGCTCATTTTTAATGAACAACGTAAACATGGTGTACAAAGAGAGTGAGAGAGCAAAGCCACAATCAAAGTAACGAAATCAGCAGAAAAAAAATAGCTTGAAAAACCTCAAAAAGGAATAAGGTGAACAAAAACACGCACACTAGAAAAACCTTGGCCACGAGGCGAGCTGAACTCCACGTTTTTAAGATTGAAAGAGTAATTTTTATGACCAAAGATGTAAAAATGCGAGGAAAAACGGAAGCGAATCATGTTTTATTTTCTCTCTCGCGCGCTCTTTCATTTTGTTCAGTTGATTTTCTACTTTTATTTTCTGTCGTTGACAAAATGAAAGCGGATTGTGATTTGATTTTTGCAGGAAGTTGTGTAGCTTTTCAGTCTGCGGCGTCGGCGGCCAGTTTCACTTTCCCACTTGTTTGCAATTGGCATGAAGTCGGTTGTGCCGTGCTTTGCTTCGACTAACATGGGTTTCCTTCTTTGCTGCGCCTACTTTGTAGAAGAACGTTTTTGTTAAGTTTAATTGGCTTTTTTTCGGTGAACAAGAAACTTTGTATGAATCTATCTATCCGTTATCCGGGCGGTTTTCACTCGGTTCGTTCGTTGTTGTTTTCTTCGTCGTCGTCATAAAACTCATGTCGATACGTAATAAGTCTATTCCGTCACTTTGAAGTTTTCTATATGGCAAAAACGCGCGCCACAACTTTTGCACGTTCTGCACACAGTGCGACAATTCGTTTTATATCACAATCGTCGTTTGCAATGGCAAATACGGAAAATCTGATACGTTTGCTTGAATTAACGATTGCAAAAGACCAAGAGATAAAAGCGCGCACCGAAGGGGGATAGAGATAGACGGCATTGTGCAAGTAAAAACGCGAAGACAAACTCTTCTACAATCAAACAAAAAATGGCGCACGCAACACATTATTTACGAGGTTATGATTCATGAGCAATTAATTTAATTGGACCGATGAGAATCTTTGAGCTAGCTTTTGCAGCTGGTCTAACACAGGAAATGTATAATGAACGATAGAAACAAACAAACAAAGAGCATTTTCGCACCGACCTTAAACCCTTCCGAACATACAAAATTAAACGGGGCGTTCAAATCAATTCCGGCCATGCAATGACGATCAAACCAAACCACACCAGCATCATAACAAATTTTACGCCTCCAAAGCAAAAATATACACACAACGTGCTTGTGCAAACGGCTTTTGAATAAATAAACGATTCGATGGAGACGAATTGATGGACAAATATTTGTCAAGCGCAAACAGAATGTGCATTTGCCATCTAATTTCTTCATTCTAAGTGATTCATTAATTTTTCATTTCGATTCGGGCTATCAGTACACGAACACACAATCTATCGAGTGTGTGCACGTTTAGATAGATTGATATTTATTTAGATACATTTTGTATCAGATTACATTCGGCCATGTTGGCCATTCGAAAAGCGCAAATGATGCACATCGCATCGAAACATTAAATTGAAATATGTCATCTTTGTGATATCAGATGTTTGATGACCCGTTACACTCTTTCGGTCATGTCATACAATATATATAATATGTCAATATTTCATTTAAATCTCGAGTTTAATGGATGGCAAAAAGAAGCAAAATGCTCGGCACCAAATCCCATTCCCATTTTCCATTGCTCAGGTCGTCTTGTCATTGGCTCGCTGACGGTTTATTTTCAAACTGGTTATGTTTTATGGATATGTTCGCTAGTGACCAATCGATTTTGTGTGTGTGAGAACGTTTTGATGCTGGTCATCGCAAAAATGGTGGTGATAAAAAAATGCTTTGCATACATTTAGCATTAGAAAAAAGGGAGTGCAGCACAAGCACATGATCATCATCATCGTTTTAACCGCCGGTGCATATTATTGAATGGACGTCTCACACTTACACCGCATATCCATCACGGATAACAATGACAGCACCACAAACAAAAGCCTCGAACCACACAAGGGGAAAAAGTATGCAACGTATTGAGAAATAGCGCAAAACAAGTACAAAAACATATGGCCAATATTTTGTGTGGACGACGATGAAAAATGCATGATTTGAAAATATTGAGCATGGAGTAATAAAAAAGTAAAACACAGCACCCAAGTGAAATTAATGCCTGAAACGGGGGAAAAAGAGAGCGAGACACACATACACACGAAGAGAGAGAGAGAGAGAGAGAGAGAGAGAGAGAGCGAAACGTTAGCAAGAAACACTACAATAAAATGGAAATCCTTTGCGACCGACCCAGTTTGCTATTAATAAACAAGCAGATTTAAATTAGTGCCAAGCTGTTAATTTTAATGTATTTGTTGGTATCGGTCGGTGTATTTGCAAAGAATATTGAATTGAAAAAACTTTGCCTTCGCTTATTCGTTCGCTCGTACGTTCGTTCGCTCGTTCATTTACTCACTGTTTGTGCATGTGTAAGCGCGTCGCCACACCACGCTACATTTCACCGTTTTCGCTCATCAACGCCCAATTGCTAATAGCGCACTCTTTGCTTCAATCTTCCTTCAAACAGATTTCATTGTTTTTATGTGCGTCTAAATACACGGGTCCTGTTGCGAGCAAAACCAAACGAGACGAACCAAACGGTATTAACTGCTGACGGGGTTTATTTTTCGTTTGTCGTTTCTATGTGTATTTTCCGCAGTTTTGCGATTTTTCCCTCCTCTACTTCTTATTTTTGCTGTTCGTCATCATCATCCATTTCCATTCGTCCTTTAGCTCTCGCGTTTTTAATACTTTGATGTGAAAAGCTTTTAGTGTTTCGATATTTTATATAGTGCAATATATCGAAAAGCAACAACGAAATATAAACTAAAATCAGAATAAGAGAAAGGGAGAGAGAGAGAGAAAGAGCGGGAGAAAAAAAACAGGAGTTTGTGAAACGAGGACGAAATGTAATAGAAATATCACAATGTTCCCTCTGACTCCATGTTCGATAACGGAAACGAACAATGTGAAATGACAGAAGAATAAGACATCATCTTCAGCATGCATCGATTCTCCGCTCATCCTCCAATGGATATGTGCGATTTTATACACACAGCAGCTTATCTGCTTGAATGTGTGTTCATCTGAATGCATAACATTTTCGCTATGCAGCTCTGTCTGTTCGCTATCTTTCTCTTTCATTTGCTTGATTTTCAGTCGAAGGCGACCAATAAAATTCACTGCTGAGCTTTTGCACCCCATTTTTCATGTTCATTCGATCGAATGAGTGTGAGAAAGAGGAAGAGGGACAGAGAATGCGAATATGAAACACGGCGACCACCATCGCCACCACTACCGCGCTGCCGCTGCTGCTGTTA